ATGTCATAGCTGCACACCCTTCTAGTTGCTGTATGTGGGACTCGGCCTCAGGATGGATGGAGAAGTGGTGCCTCGATGCACACCCGGGATCCGAACCCGGGCCACCAGCATCGCAGCACGCGCACTTAACCACCAAGCCACAGGGCCGGCCAAGTAAAGGGTCCTTTTGCCTAGCTTCCACAAGCTGTGTGTAAGCTGCTCCAGGAACAGATGCACAGCTGCCTGTCTCCTAGCTGAGGGTGAGCTAGTTGCTACTGTGCTAAGAGCTGAAATTGACCAAAATTAACCACAATTTGCTTCCAAGTCTTCCCCAAGAAATTGCAAGCCTTCATTAGATTCCAGAGTTCCAAAAGTTACACCATGCATATTCTGCCAGTGCATTGTTGTCTAGGTGCAAAGACAGATTCCTGATGCTTCCTCCTCTGCCATCTTCCTAGAATCCTCTGCAGTGCAGTTTTAATTTATGTCTCTTATTTGACTAAGGTTGCACTTCATTCCATATGTTTATATCCTATACTATCTTTTCTAGTGGGTTATTGTTTTTGTTAGAGCTCTGTATATATTTAGCTCAAGTAAGTTGCACGTATTTTTTCATATTTTGTAATTTATCTTTTGATTTTGCTTATGGTGGGTTTTGCCGTGCATAAATTTTTTATATTTATGTGTTTGACTTTATCCAAAGTATTTTACATAGTTGTTTTAGTCAGTTGTTCAATATGTACAAAAGTATGTTCAACTTTTGGAAGAGCATATGAGAAATTGGTAACATTGGTTGCCTTTGGGTAGCTACAGTTACCTCTCTGGGTTGTGAGGGTCTTGTTTTTCTTTTCTTTTTTCAAATCTTTAATAACCATTAGAACAAAAAGAAGAAAAGCAAACCAAAACCTGCAGCAGAAACAAGTAACAGTATCCCAGATTCCAGTAAATCGGTTTCCATTCAAGAGGAACAGTCTGCGCCTTCCTCCGAGAAAGGTGGTATTAATGGTTACCACGTCAACGGTGCCATCAATGATACTGAGTCTGTGGACTCACTCAGTGAAGGTATGGAGACGCTTTCAATAGACGCTAGAGAATTGGAGGACCCTGAATCAGCCATGCCAGATATGCTGGACAGAACAGGTGAGTTTGTTAACAGGTCTTTGAAAAGTTGCATTCTGTTGGAAAATACAGAGGCTTCCTGGTTGAGAAAGCATCAATAAATTAAATCTAGTTAGCCCTTTACTTTTTGGTTTTTGTTACCTCTTATGTGAAAGAGTCACATTTTGTAGTTATCAAAGGCCTAGAAAAATATAATTCTTGTTCCATTGTCTCATATTTAATTTTAGTCTAAATCAGTCTTGTGGAAATCTAACTTAATAGTCCCTTAGTACTTTAGACCATAAGATGATTTTTTTTTAATTGCACACTTATTAAGGAAAATGATGATGATGAGTTGACGTTGATATTATCCTAAGACCCAACACAGTGAGGAATATATAATAATAACTCTAATCCCATGGCTTTCATGTGAGGTAGATTGTTGGTTTTTATAGTGTCACATTTGTTTTCTAGAGAAGTGTTAGTTGTAAACTCAAATATTTTATAAGCTTTTTGGTTTGTTTTATTAACTATTTTGTTGAGGGCTGGGAAGATGTTAAGAATATCTCTTTTAAAATAGTTTTTTAAATTATTTGTTTGTAAATCCAGCTCCCCTTGCTCTGTTGCTGCTGGCTTTAAAAATGTAATGCCAATTTAAGAATTATGCTGTACTTTTTAGATATTCTTTGATTGATTAGTTCGCACACACACAGAAAGACTTAGTGAAAGATATAGCACCTACACTGACCTCAAACAAACCAATGATGATGGCTTCCGTTTTTTTCTGAGCTAGCTTTCCTTTCATTTCCTTGCTCTTTGCCCTTTCTATTCCCTAAAGCTTTTAAAACTCTTCTTTTCCTGGGACAGTGTAAAACTCTTTTTTCCTCAGTATAATTTACAGAAGCTTTCAGAAGTTGGTGATGTTGACTGTCTTCACCTCCTTGTGCCCATAGCTGCAAGGAAGCTACCCAGATACAGGGAATGAGCCGACCTCTCTAGAGATGCGTTAACTCAGACTCCTCCTCTTCTTCATTCAGGATGCCACCTCGGGATAAGCCAGATGCTACTGATAGCCTTGAGCAACTGATTCTGCTCTTTGATCTATTTTGTCAGTTGATTTTGTTCACAACCTTCTAAGAGGCATAGTTTTGCCTCAGACATTTTTACCTTTTTTCTTTGTGTGTACTTAAGACTGCTTGATTGATTTACCCATAAATTTTGCTCTAAAATACTGGCCTCTTTCTTTCACAGGATCCATGCTGGAGGATGGTGGCTCTGATTTTGAGTCCAAATCTTTGACTATGCACTCTACTCAGAATTCTCAACAAAATAGGAGTGCTGCCAAGTCTCTCTCAAGACCTACCGCTGGACCTCAGTTTTCAAATCTGGGGATGGAAGATGTTCCACTCTCCTCCACCAACAAAAAGCTAGGTAAATCAGAGGCCTACCTTTGAGAGAAAACAAAAAATCTGTGTTTTTGGCTAAAGAGGGCAGGTTATCTCTTTGTCCCATAGATAAGGTTTCTGAAGGGCAGCAGGTAATACTTTTTCTGATTTCCAGGCAATGACTAACTAGCCCTTCCCTAACTCTGTGTACACAGTTGGAATTAGATAGTAGTTTAGATGCTGTACAGTCTTGTTACAGTGATGGGAATCCTTTTTGTGAATGAAAGTCAAACTACTGCCAGGATGACTTTTCTGCTAACATTAACCTGTTTCTTTTATTTGCTTTACTATAACATTATTGTGCTGTTTCCTTCATTTTTATCTTCAGTTGACTCAACAGTAAAAAACCCTGCCATCTCTGACATGACATTTTAAAGAAATATTTTCATTACTCTTTACAACTTCATGCTCTTACTGATATCTGTCAGACTCAAGGTTTAAACAAGATTATTTTCTCTTAAGTACTTAGCATTGACTAATGGTAGTTCTTTGCTTTCTTTTTTTTTAATGATTATTCTTAACTATAGTAATCATTTAAATAATAGAGATAATAGCCCCTGTGAGTGTCATTCATCTAGGCATGGTGGTCCACTTCACTAAACAAATGAAACATAGAAATGTAAAAGACACTGGTAACCTGTAGCTCTTTATTGAATTATTTATTCCACATGAGCTAAATTTAATTAGTGAAGCTCTCCTTTTTCATCTTTCTAACATAACCCTCAGCTTGGTGCAGAAGAGCAAGTCTGAAAATATTCAGTCAAACAAAAATAAAAGCACAAAGCTTGAGAGCTTTTACATAGATTTTAAAAGAAATCAAGTTGAGATGAAGAAGAATTTAAATAAAAAATTGAAAATTTGTATCTTGGCACATTATAAACTTTATAGATCCATGATTGCAACCCTCAATTGTATATATAACTTTGACGTTGGTGAGTATAGAAAGGTTAATAGAACTCTTGGAAACTGGTTAAAATGTTTTGAGTAGGTAGATGTATTTCATCTTTATCTACGAGTTGGCTTACCCACATATAATGCTTTAAACTATACTACAGAGAGAGAGCTTTATCAATTTTGTAATGTCTGCATGGTGAATTATATTCTACTAAATCCTGGCATTTGGAGAGTTTTGAAAATTTGGTACCTATTCAAATAGTTATTTTTTTTAGTCTTTTTTCTCTGTGTGTTTCATTTAGTTTTGAATAGTTTCTAAAATTGCTGTCTTCAAATTCATTAGTCATTTTTTTTTTAGCAGCTCCTAATCTGCTAATCCCATCCAATATATTTTTCATCTCAGACATCATTTTTTTTTTCACTTCTAGAGGTTCAGTTGGGGTCTTTTAGAATATCTTCCATGTCTCTCTTTAACTTTCCTCTACCTTCTTGAACATACAAGGTATCTGATTATATTAGCTGTTTTCATGTCCTTATCTACTTGCTTCTACATCTGTGTCATTTCTGCATCTGCTTCTGTTAATTGATTTTTCTCTTCATTACGGGTCATATTTTTCTGCCTCTTTGTATGCCTAGTACTTTTTTATTGGATGCCAGATATTGTGAATTTTGCTTTGTTGATTGCTAGATATTTTTGTATTTCTTTAAATACTCTCATGATTTGTTCTGGGACTGTTCCTTGGAAATAGTTTGAGGGTTGCTTTTAAGCTTTGTTAGGTAGAACTAGAGCAGCCTTTAGTCCAGAGCTAATTTGCCTCCTTACTGAGGCAGTACCCTTCCAAGTGCTCTACCTGGTGCCCCACTCTGGGTAGTGTGAACATGAAGTATTCCTGGCCTGGCTGAGCTCTAGGAATTGTTCCACTTGCTCCTTTCCAGTGGTTCTTTTCCCTGTCTCGGGTAGTTTCCTCACAGCCGTGCACTCAGATCTTCTGAAGATCTCGGTACAACTCTGCTCTTTGCATAGCTCTCTCAACTCCATATTCTGCGCTGCGAATTTTAGCCACTGTGGCCTCCCCAACTTCTGTGTCCCCTCAGTTCAGGGAGACCTCCAGGCTCAGTTTAGGATTGCTCTTCCTTGCCTTGCAGCCTGGAAACTCTGGTGGCAGTAAGTTGGGGCAATCCTAGGGCTCACTTCTTTTGTTTCTGTTTTCTCAGGGAAAAAGTACTGCCTATTGTCCATTGTCTGAAAACCATTGTTTCATATATTTTATCTGTGTGTGTGTTTAGTTGTTAAGCCAGGAGGGTAGATCCAATTCCTATTACTCCGTCTTAGCTAGGATGCTTAATTTTTTAAAAAAAATATGTGAAAACATCAGTTTTTTGTTGAGGAGGGTGGCCATTTAGGAAACATTCTTAGTCTGCATGACATTTGTTACTTTACATGCGTTAAGTGTTCAGATCCAACTTTCAAGTTACCTATGCTCCTTTTTTTTAAATTAATCCTTGGGTTTTTTTCCAAGGTTCCAATATTGAAAAATCTGTGAAAGACCTCCAGCGCTGTACAGTGTCTCTTGCACGGTATCGAGTTGTAGTTAAAGAAGAGATGGATGCTTCCATTAAGAAAATGAAACAGGCTTTTGCTGAATTGCAGAACTGGTAAGTTAAGTTGCATTTGATATCAGTAGCACAAAAAGGATCATTTATAAAGATCATCAGCCATTCACCAAGTTTTCTAATTCCTGACTCTTAACTACTCAATATAGTGGAGACTTAAAAATCCTGTGATATATTTAGCTAAAAATCCTAAGGTATATTCTTTTGGACACAGTGTGGGAATGGGTAGCACAAAGAATCGTAATGCTCCAGAAATGGGCCTGAGGTTAATATTGTTTGGAAATGGACAAATAATTATAGAGTAGATCATGCATTCTTTCTTTATGGTCTATGTTTTAAACCAGGAACCTGTAACCAATGACATGATGTGTTTGAACACAGTTATAAAGTAGAAAAGATCTGTCTTTGCTTTCCTACCTCCTTTCATCCTTCCTAAAGCACCCCACCATAATGGTCTCTCCTGTGCCCTATTATCAATCATTGATTTGTTTTAATTTTGTGTTTTTCAAACTATGTTCTAAAGAATACTCATATCTTAAAATATATTAATATGTGTCCTGTATGAGAAATAGGGTTTGGTAGTTAAAGAGGTTTGAAAATGCCTTTTTTTTTTTTATTTTACTACTGGACTGGACTTATCTCAATGCCTTTTCAATGCTAATGTGCATTGTGCATCACAAGAGGGAGCTGTGCCATGCTGTTTCTCAAATGTATTTGATTATAGAAACTTTTGGGGGGAGAAATGTATTTTCTAGAACACTGAAACCATTTTAACTATTAGATATTAAGGTGTTAACTGATATTTAAACCATAACTCCTTTCGGGGGGAGTGGGTATTTGTATTTTATAGGGGACTTTTTTGAAAACAGAAAAGTTCTAAGGACCAAATTAAGTAAAATGGTGGGCAGACAAGCAGCTAGGTTGACGTTTGGGGATTTAGGACTGTCCACTCCACTTATTTATAAGATTAGCCTGGATTTGAAATATCAGAGGAAGTATTCATGGATAGAGAAAAGCTGCACCACTCTCCCTCCCAACCATCCATTTTCTTGCCTGTCTGTGGACTGTTCCCTTAGGTCGTATTCATCTGTGTCTCTGTTCACAAACTTAGTCTGGTCACTTCATGCCCCAGCAGACAAGATAGAGGGAGTATGGGTAGACTCAGTCCTCCTGTTCTGTGGAATGAAGAGGGAGTGAATTAACGAAGATGTAGAATAAAGCTTCCAAAAAGTTGCTGACCCCTACTTTTATCATTTGCAAAGTGTAGAATGGTCCATTAAATCATCGCAACCAAAAGTACTTTTAGGATAGATAATTCATCTGCTAGTCTACCCATGCTTTGTCCTGAATCCTGAGTTTCCTGTTTCAGGTTTTATAGCTAGAAACTTAATGTCATAGCTTCTGTTTTTCTTACATACATTTTTTCCCCAGCCGGATTACTTGACTCAAAACTTAACGTTCACATTTCCTTTTCCATATATGAGTTAATGCCACTTGCCCAGCCTAATATGCTCTCCTACATCTTTGTACTTATCTATATCCAACCAATTCTCCCAAACTCACCTTAAAATAAGCTCTAACTTCTGGAAATTTTTCCCTGGCTTATTACCATATCAGATATTGTTGGCTCATTTGAGAAAGAATAAAGAGCTTAGAATAGGTCATCACAACTTTGCCTTGATAAGCCTCTGGTTTCCATGACTGTTTAGCTTACTGATTACTTAGCCACAGGATCTGATTCCATCCAGAACCAGCCTGAACCAGGAAACACACTTCCGGGAGAGAGATTTGTGAGTTCCTGTTGACTTGAAACCCAGCCAGAGGGAGCCTCCTTCGATAAATGACAAATGAAATGATTTCCTGCCTGGGAACTGTGTATTTAGGATTGATTAGCGGGCGTAGCAACCAGGTCAATTTAACTTGAGGAAAGATATCACCTGCCCTTTCCTGCTGGTGTAAAGCCCTTCTGTCTGGCTGATTGGGTTTTTAAACTGCTTTATTTCATTGCCCCTTGGAATTACTACTTCAAGATATAATTGGCAGGTGAGCTAACTACATTTGGCACTGAACCAGAGCTTGGGGTTAATGTCACTTAGGAAGCCATTTTTTGTCTTGGTTATAGTATAAAGGAAAAGCAAAGAGTTCTAACAAATTTGCGACAGTAAGATTACATTACCCCTGTCGGGGTAGTAGGAGGATTACACGGATAACTGCTTTCACTAGGAGGCCAAATGAAAGCTGACACATACCTGTGGGAGGGTAAAATCTGAGGCTTCCCAATATATAAAACTTAAAATCTGTTCTTATTGGTGATCTAGTAATAATCATCCCTAGACTCAAGTTTATTTGTTAATTAATCAAATTTGTCTGACTTACATTGTTGGAGCTATTAGTTGACTTAAGTTTAAAGCTATTAAGGAGCAGGATCTGGAGTGGGACATGAAGCTGGAGTATAGAAACTACTTTGAACAGTTGTCATAAAATGTATTGATGAAAAATGCCAACAGGATACACACTCAGTTTGCCTTTTAAATAAAAATTTCTATTTTGTTGAAAGTTAAAAGGTACTTATTAAAGTGAGAAAATGGGTAAGAAGTTTCGTAAAGTCAATGTAAGTCTATGCTTAAGATTTTAAAATTTTTCCTAGCTGATTCCTCACTTAGAAAAATTACTTCCTTTTATTTGAACTTCTCTTTTCTTATATTAAACTACCAGTAGTCTTAACAAAGACTTTTAGATCCTTAAAGTCCATATAGAGATGCTGAAAATTTAGGAATCATTTTATGAACCAAAGCACTTTCAAAAATGTCTAAAAAAACATAGAAATAAGGGAATGGGCTAGTGTAATAATGTGTTATCAAAAATGTATATAGCTGCATAGTTTTAAATTATTCTTCAGTTTCTACGTGTTTAGTACATTGATATCTTATTTCTACTAGTACTTCCCTCCATGGTTTTCAGTGTTCCTTGATTTTAAAATTTTACTCTCTAACCATCTGTCAAAACAACTAATAACATTTGTTGAAAATTACTTTGCCGTTTACCAAACATGTTCAATCATATTATCTGATTTCTTTATTCATATTTCTGTCCTGTGAAGTAGGAATTTTTAATTCTACTTTATTATTAAAAGGGATTTGAGTCTTAGGTTAAACGATTTACCTAACATGACATGATAAGTTGCAGACTCAATATTTGAATCTGTGTGTTCTGACTCCCAATAACCTATGATCTTCATCCCATCTATCACGGTGGCTCACTTCCCCACTAAAGCTTGAGAAGAAGGCTAGAGACTCTTGGTACATGTCATATATATTATTTCCTCCTCAGCTTAAAGGCTATGTAACAAAGAAACCCCACTGTAGAAGAGTTTAAGGATTAAGGAATTTAGTCATTATGGAACAGGGTTAGATAGAATGAGGAGGACCAGGATTTTGACTGAGCCTATGAAAGCCTTTATAAGTATTTTTTTATTTCAATAAAATAAAACTATAAGAAGGAATATTCCATCCAAATATTCAATGTTCTGTTGATTTTGTAACTCAGAAGGTCCTAAATCACTCTTCTTAAGTCACAACTTGGAGTGACTTGTGATTCAGATATTCCTCAGGTCAGATCTTAGTTGTGGGAAAGGTGTGAAGATTAAGGGAAAGGTTACTATGGAGTGGGGTCAATTAGCAAAGATTTCTTGGAGGATATGAATCCATTATCAAGCCTTGAAAGAAGCATGGAATTTACACTGGAAATGGGGATGGAATACTGCATTTAGGAGATATGAGATAAGCATAGGGAGAGAAAGGACAGGTCAGGATTCTGCACAGTGTAGCTGAGGCTAAGGGACAGTAGTTGAAAGTAGTGAGGGATGAAGTCAGAGACTGGGGTAGAGTGCGAGCATCTGATGAAGGAATGTGAATTTTTTTTTCCTTTTTTTAAAGGTTCCATTATTTCCTCTTATTTTTTTACTGTAGTTCCCAAAATTATAACAATAGTTTTTTAAAAATCAAAATGTCATGTAACTCTACCATCTTAACACATAATTAATTTCTTTTTTTCCATGTTCCCTTGTGTCCTTTTTTCCTATATGTATGCATAATCTTACTAGTTGTAATCCTAGTGAGAGTGTAATTTTGTAATGTATTCTTTTCACTTAAAGTTATCTTTGATTCACCTCTATATAACTGCCTCCTCTGTTTTAGTGTGTGTATGTGTTTATTTAAGAATTTCTAGACAATGGATCTAGAATGTATACTGATTTGCCACAGTTGCTATGAGGGCATTTTACTAAGTGGCTATTTTACTGAAACTAAGAAATCAAGATGAGTACAGATATTAGAATAATAATTGCTGCTGCCATTTATTGAGCTATTATTATATGTCAGAAGCTTTTATGCACAATATCTTTAATTTATATAACAATATCACTTGTAGTATTATACTCATTTTATAGATGAGAAAAAAGATGGGCATAGAAAAAAATAATTTGCCCAAAATTAAGTGATACTTTTCCCCTATACCATACTTTCTTTTTCTGTGTCTTACCAGAGATATCTGATTGCCTTTATTCTTCAATCTTTGCCTTCATAGTCCACACATATCTCCATTTAGACATTGCTATCATAATTCCAGAGAGAGGACTCAAAATAACAAATCACAGTTTCAAATGAGGATCTAGTTGCCGCTCACTATGTGGCTTAACACTCCAACCATTTTTCCTTACCAACTGGAAACTTGAACAGTAAACTCCCTGGTAATCTGGATTGCTTCTGATTCTTTTTTCCTAAACATATTGTAAAATATCAAGTCAAATGGTCGCTAGCATTACTTTATTTTTATTTTTATTTTTTTTTAAGATTTTATTTATTTTTTTATTTTTTCCCCCCAAAGCCCCATTGGATAGTTGTGTGACGTAGCTGCACATCCTTCTAGTTGCTGTATGTGGGACTCGGCCTCAGGATGAACGGAGAAGTGGTGCCTCGATGCGCACCCGGGATCCGAACCCGGGCCACCAGCATCGCAGCGCGCCCACCAAGCCACAGGGCCGGCCCAGCTAGCATTACTTTAGAATTGAGATGCTTTAACCACTGGAAAAGAACAGAAAGAAAGGTTATCTGTTGAGGGCCTGTCCCACAAGACCAACTTATATTCACATTCTAACTTCTTAAAAGCTATTTCAGACTCTTAAGATATGAAATTACATGTCCACATGCTTTGTAAAGGACTCTTGACAAAGAGGAACCCATCAAAATTTTTCATAAGATCCAAATTTGATGTAATAAGCTAGTTCTTTCAATTCATTTTACCCCAATTTTTCAGCTCAATATGATGACCTGGCTGCCTAACTGATGTTTTTTGTTTTTGTTTTGAGCCCAGATGTGTGTCCCATGCTCCAGTAAGGCCAGTGCCGTGAGTGTGGAGTTTTACAAAACACACGAAGCATCGTCAATTCTCTGCTAAAAAAAAACTATTGACAATTTCCTTTTTTGGTTGTTATGTATGGGAAGAGGGAGGTGTCTTCAGAGAAATAAAGGTGTTTGCATTGGCTTTGCTTGGATTTCTGCTTTGATTGGCTAGTGGAATTAGAATAAATAGGTTTTAAGTTTTCAGTAAATCAAGTACAAATGTTTTCTAAGAACATTATTGAATGGTTTAGAGTATTATTCCTTGAAATAATTGGCTGTGGAATTGCCAGAGTGGTGTTTCCATTATAACATTGTTTTCTAGTGCAACAACCATGAACAAATGATAGTTAACAATTTTTTTGGTACCAAGGAATTACTGAAGGCAACAGCTAGAGTCAATAAGCTATGTGTATTAATTAAAGGGCTTTCTTCAAATGATGGATACATAATATATCTTAGAGATGCTAATGCTACAGGAACAACTATTCTGAGCGAATAAATTAGACAAAACCTTTAGAATAAGTAATGTGAAGCATTCACATGAGCAAATGTGAAGATGGTAAAAGGTCTTGGTAAGGAGGGGAGGAAATACAGAACATTCAGACATTTACCAGTCTTTTTCCTTAGTAACAGCGACAAGTTATCTAAAACCATTTTCATGATTGAAGAAATGATATGGAAATTCTCTGTACTGTATAAGGCCCAGACTTAATAAGACCTAGTGTCTTTCTAAACAGAGTCCCAGCAGTATTTAGCTGAATTTCATTAGCAGTTTCAGAATCCAGCGTATCAGATGCTTATTATGGTGTCTTTCCATTCAGGAAAGCCTTGAGAGAACAGTTGCAAGCTTAGCACCCCCCTGTATTGGAGTGAGCAAGGTAACAGAAAGTCTGACAGTCTGAATGAGCCTTTCATCCTTCTCTGAGAGGACTCATTGCCTGCAGTTACGGCATCTAAAAACTACCACAGGTACTTTTGAATCTCGTGGCCACAGATCTGTACCGGGACCACCGTTTAGATTAGGAACAGATGGAAAACTTTAGCTTAAGCTTCTTCATTGTTAGAAAGTCATATTACAGTAAATTATTGTTTTTAATTGTAAAAAATGCCTCTACTATTTATCTTAATGCTTAGCCTACTTTCCACTTTTGAACTCTTCCCACCTTCCCTATTTATTTTGTGATGCAAATATTTCCCCAACTTTTTATTATGAAAACTTTAAAAAATACAGAAAAGTTGAAAGGATAGTACATGATCACTGTATTTGCTCTGTGTGTATGGCAGGGAGTGGGGGGCTGAAGGTGGAACCATGTGGAAGTTGCGGACATCGTGACACATCACCCTTAAATAATTTACATTAATGACCTAAAAATACAGTCATTCTTCTACACAACTATAATACGTTATGTGATGTACTTTTAATAAAGTTATTATTATATCATCTTGTGTTGGTCTCAGCCTATTGATAGTGATGCTACCAGGTAGGAATGCCTGGCAACACTCACCTGGGCCCCGTACTACTTGTGGTGAGCCCCTACTGTGTTGTGGCTGGACCAGCCCCTGTGGTTCCTACAATTCTAAGACGCACCTCAGCAACCATCATCAGGGAACTTTGAAAAAAACAAAGTTATTACTGACAGGCCCAGGAGGGTACACAGCACGCCTGGGGTCACACAGCAAGATTTGCTTAAGGAGTGTGCAGACCTAGGTTCTGTTTTTATCACATTCAAGGGTGAAGTGCCTAGGGTTTCACGGGTTCACTCTTTATTGGTGACTTTAAAACATAAGAGCAACGATTAAAGTGAGAAGGGTAAAGTAGGGTCACTGGAGCCATCAGTTATCTAGGTCACCGGGGCTTTCTAAAAAGGAAACTTCCTGGATAGGGCAGCCTGGCTCTTTACCTAGTTGTGTAGCTGGCAGTCTATTTATTCAAGGTGAATGTCTTTGAAATGGATGTCTCGGCTATCAAGAGCTTAATGTCAAGCACTTACATTACAATCCAAAAAGCTGATTGTCAAGCACTTGAACAACATATATTTTAACATTTGTTCATTTTTGTATTTTAAAGACTTGTGAAAAATTTAACGTAAAATTGCAAATATTCATCAAGCTTTTCTCTGAGAAAATATTGCAACAGCCTCAGTTAATCAATAGATTCCTCTGTTTAATGCTTGGCTAACATCACAGGACCTTTCAATAGATGTTATCAATAGATAGCAACATGATAAACAACAAAAAAAAGAAATGAAAGTGCTTACTGCTTCTCAGTGTTTTTTGGCATGAAAATGTAAACTATTTTTTCTTAATGGAGTGGTCGAATGGTTGTCCATGCACTGCCCTGTGAATTTCCTTTTTTTTTTTTTAATTAATTAATTAATTAATTTTTTTCCCCCAAAGCCCCAGTAGATAGTTGTATGTCTAGCTGCACATCTTTCTAGTTGCTGCATGTGGGATGCGGCCCCAGCATGGCCGGAGAAGCGTGCGTTGGTGCGCGCCAGGGATCCGAACCCGGGCGGCCAACAGCGGAGCGCACGCACTTAACCGCTAAGCCACGGGGCCGGCCCATGCCCTATGAATTTCTTATGATCACCAATGAGTTGATCAAGAAACAAAGTTAATTTAAATGGATGCTAGTCACTCTCACAGGAAAAAAAAAGTGCCCTCGCACTGTACTAGCTCATACTGCCACAAAACAGTCTGGTTGTGATGGCGCAGAACTTTTTTTCCTTGCTAACAGTGTCATGTGACATTCTACCTTTTCATAATAAAGATTGTAAGCTGCAGAAAGCTTACGAGTTTGCTGAAACTTTTTAATAAGTATTTTACAAGCTTTGTCAGAGACACATTTGTCATCTGGTGGACACAGTCTACATCTTAAGGTGATACAGCAGCAGGAGAGAGAGGTAATGTCAGGCTCCAGGCTGGCAGCTCCCATCTCAGTCATGCTTTTGTTTTGCCTTTTAGGTGTTCCACATGCTGCTAGAGTTCTTGGAGCAAAATATTGCCAAGGTTTGGGAAATGCTTTCTTAGCAAAGTATTGCTACCCAACAATAGTTGTATCTTCTCTCTAGTCTGGTGCTTTTGGATTAATATGTCAACCAAATTTGTTTTGTTAAAAGTCTATTTATTAACATCATGCATAATGATTATCAAGCCTGTGTTCTCTGGCACTCCACTATAAAGGATTTTGCTCCTTGAGGAAATGACCCTGCCTTATACTTTTTTTGTATATCTCACACTGCAGTCTCCATATTAACTACTTTGTGCTAACATAACTACATGTTGACCTAAATTGAATTAGTATAATGTGTGTGTATATGTATGTATGTGTGTGTGTGTGTATATATATATATATATACACATATATATATATGATTGGTTTTACAACCAGAAACAAGGGTAGAACTTTTATTAACCCTGTAATTATATTCCCATTCAAAAGGAGAAATTAGAATGAATTCCAAATTTGAAGAGAATTGGAACATTTCATGTTCGTGCAGGTATTAAAATTTTAGATTTTTTTTGCCACTACTAAGCAAAACTGATATGGTAAGGAAAATTATTTGTCTCCAGAGGTTGAATACTAGGGCAACCTACTATCTCTTTATACATTGAAGATGGTGGGCTCTTTTACAAGGGCATGGAAAAGCTTTATGTGCCTACAAACCATGTTCATTTGCAGTGGAAAAAATTCTTATTGCCCATTTAATGTTCTTTTTCTGTAAAAAGCCTACCAGAAACCTGTGATTCTATCTTTTCTGGATTACTATTAAATGTTTACCTAAAACCAGCACAATGTATGTCTTTTGACTACTCTGCATTCTAAAGACTAAAGTGCCAGTGGACTTGGTGCAACTGTGTTCAAGTGTTAAGGATCTAGAAATCCTAATCATGGATAAATTTACCCTGCCCTAGCAGAGGTATTGCCTGGTAAATTCATTAGAAGCAAAGCTGTCCAGTTTTATAGACTAAAATATAAAATAAAAAATATGTGAGCACCTATGTGGAAATACTTCATTTTCCCAAGGACTTTTCCTTTTGGCACAACTTAGTAAGAAACATATTTTTGCAGCTTGCTACTGCCATCTACTGGTTCTCAGCTCTTGGACTGATATAGAGAAATAAAAGGGAATTAGGTCTATTCAATTTATTGGAATCCTTAAAATATTCTTTGCTGTGGGTGAGACATCAGAATTTTCATGTGGTCCATACAGTGATTACTTTGTAGTATGCTTTTAGTGAACAAACTCTTTAAGTCTTTCTCTGCTGTTAATGTGCTATTTCTCTATTTGAGTTTCTGATCAAACCTTTTTTCCCTTTGTCATCCCTTTCTAGTTTAATGGATCGAGAAGTTGCATTGCTTGCCGAAATGGACAAAGTGAAAGCTGAAGCAAGTAAGAATGATCTTTAATTAAAGCTATTACCAGTTAGTAGGTACCTGTCTCTCAACCCCCTTAGCAAAAGCTCAATATAAATGCTACAATAAAAGTTTATATATTTAGTTAAACAATCTTGAGCAGTTGTACTTTACTAGCATATGAATCCTTTCAGGCAAAACAACTTTACAAGAGCCTGTTTTTTAAATATTTCCAAATTTTAATATTTTGAATGTAGAGTTCACTGTCTAAGAGACTGTATCGTGGTATCTGCCACCACAGCATCAACTTAGGAGAATGCATCCTGCAGTGCCTGGGTTCTGTTTTATTTTGTTTTCTCCTCCAGTGATTGAAGAATTCCATTGGGTTTTTTCCTACTTGGAAAAAATCCTTTGGCATACTCAAAGGCAACGTCACCAGGTTGCCTACAATTTGGTGTAAACATTCCTGTCATTACCTATCTCAGAACTTACTTTGTTTTCTCGGTTTGTAGAACAGTCTTCACGCAGTGTCTGTTATCATTGAGTAGGGGAAGCCAGTGAATTGAGGGTTCAGGATACCATGACTAGGCTTCCTTGAAAGCTTACTAAAATAGATTCTGGAGGAATAGAGTCTAACTTAGGTAATTTGTGGGGTTTTGTACAGAAGAACCAGATATCTGTTTTTTGTGTTTCTGTTAAGGGTTAGGTTGAAGATTTGCAGCTCTATGAAAAGAAGGGAATGTCAGCTGCAACTTGTGCAGCTGCATTGATTTGGGGCTTTTCAGCAGCAGGCCTTGCCTTCGTGCAGTGAATGCCAGATTTGTAATTAGGAAGGTTGTTTCTTTTAACCTGCTCTCAAACTGGTAAGAATGGAAATAGGTTGAGATGATGAGTCACAATTAAATCATTTGTGTCTATGGTCATGGGCCAGCAGAGGCATCTTTGAAGCACTGATCCATTTTAACCTGAAATGTTGCATACATAGCAGAGATGCTATCCACTGTTTGGATAGAGGTGAGATTTCATTTAAATTGGTATATCCTGAAATTTATAAATGTGACCGTTTCAGTCCATTCATGTACCTCTGTGTTCTCTTTTTGAAGATGAAGGTTCAGATAAAATCTCTGGGGAGGGGACCACAAAGTCAGAAGTAGCAGGGACACTTTTACTTTTCTTTTTTACCCATTTATTTCTAGATGAATCTTTTTACCATGTGTGCATATTTGTTTTAATTTATATGCTTGTTAAAAAAAATTTTTTTTGAAGGAGAAAGAGAAATGACAAATGATTTATGAATCTTCATGATTCATAAAGAGCGTTTACCATTTAACAGCCTTCAGAGTCCCTCAAGAAGGTAGAAACTGGACCTTTGGTATTTTCATTTTCTAGATGGGTGGGCAGCTAAGCCTTTGGCAGTCCAAATATGTACAGCAAGGCCTGTACTTCCAGTTCTTCTGTATCTTATTTAGCAAAACATAAAAGTCATACTCCCTTTTCTTCTACAGTGGAAATTTTGCTCAGCCGACAAAAGAAAGCCGAACTTCTAAAGAAGATGACCGATGTGGCTGTTCGAATGTCAGAGGAGCAATTGGTTGAGCTCAGAGCTGATATCAAGGTAACACTTCCTTCTCCTTTCTGCCTTTCTTCTTACCCTCGGGGAGTAAAGTAGCAAATCTCCATAATTCATGGCCATATCAAATATATTGAACTCATGATCTTCCCTTCCCAGACCTGGCCCTCTTCCAGGCTCCCTTTCTCTGTAAGTGGTACTGTCATCTATCCAGTTGTCCAAGCTGAAAACCTTAGGAAATTTATCCTTTTCCCACATTAAATCTATCAGCAGACCCTGTCTATCTGACTTTCTACTAAATCTCACATCTGACCTTTTCTCTTCATCTCTGCCACCACCATCATGATCAAGCTACTATTATCTCTTGCGTGAACTTCTGTAATGATAGCCTCTTGACTGAGTCCACCCATTCATTTTGCTACTGCCTCACCCTCCCCACCCTCCATACCTGTTCCTTACACTACAGTAACCTGCTTCAAACTTTCCATTGCTTTTAGGGTAAAGACTCTAATCCTTAACATAGCTTGTAGGGCTGTGGATGGTCTGGCTCTGCTACCATCCTCATTTCACACCATGCCCCCCTTGTTCTCTATATTTCAGCCATATTAGCTTTTCCTTTCCACAGATATATCCTGTTCCCTCCTGCTAGAGGGCTACTGCACATGCTTTTCCATCTGTCCAAAACACTCTTCCCCCACCCCACTCCCAGCACACACATCACTCATGACCTACCCATCCTTCCTGACTTTCTTGTCATATCCCCCTATTTTGTGCCTTCATAACTCAGTTACAATTTTTTGTGCATTTGATTAATCTGTCTTCCCCACTAGATTGTGAATTTTACAGTGGCAGGAACTGCTGTGTCTCCAGTGCCCGGCACAATGCCTTGGCACGTAGTAGGTGTTCAGTAAATATTTAAATAGTTGGTTGGTTGATTCTGATTTCAAAAGAGAAAAAATGAGCAATTTCAGGTGTTGATTACATGGTAATCTATTTATAAAGATTACTTGGGTTTAACATGCATACATTTTAAATTCTTATATAAAGAACAGCATTTCTGAGACTAAGCATGGGACCCTGAGAGAGGTTGGGATATTCATGGGTGGTTATAGACACTGGCATTCTGAGTAATGGTTTACAAACTGTGAGCTATGTGAGCAAGGGGAGTTGGCCTTCCCTATTCCTGAGTCCTTGACCTCCGCTCTTTCTGACACGTGAGGTTTATTGCCATAGTTAAGAGGAACACTTGCTGGGGAGGCTATATAACAGCCTCTCTAAAATGCAAGCATCGATGGAAGAAGACCATCTGAGACCTCACAGGTATCTTTGTTACCGTTCGAACCTGGTCTTTCACACACACAGTCATGTTATATTCTCTCCCTCTTTCCCCTTGGACTCTATTAGGGGGAAATAGAGAAACAATGCAAATTTTAAATAACCATTTTCTGATTAACTGAAACTATGTCACTAAATTTTTTAGAGAGTCTTCCTCACATTAATGCCAGTCAGTCTCATTCAACTATCTGGGAGAAGCCGGAACCCCTTTGGAATTAGATGAGAATTCTGGCTCTCACAGGCTTCATCTGTTCCCCTTCCCACGTGATTGAAAAGCTGCTAGATATATTTCTGCAGGCTGACTAAGGATCTGTTTCTCTCCACGTTTTCAGTGTACTGAAGTGGGTGCTGTGCAATTTAAATGTCTTATTTCCAGATCATTTTATTTCCGTCATTCCTGTTATGTCTTTGGCTCAACAAACCCTAGAATTTGTTTCAGAATTAATCTCAGACTGATATTACATGGCTGAACGCCTTGTTACAGAGGTTTGTGTGCTTTCCTAAGCCACAATATACTCTGAAGCTTTAGAACTTGAAGGCCCAGAGGTCATTGTATTTCTCCTCTCCCTTTTACTCTTTCTAGATGCATCCCAAGGATTCTGATGCATTTATTTCTACCCCTTGAAAATCCAGAGTGGAATTGGACCACCCCCAGTTAGAGGACCGCTCTGAGGAGTTCAGTTCTTCTAAATTATGTCTAGGCCATTAACTTTTCTTTTTCATCTCCTTTTCATCTAAAAAAATGATTTCAGGCTACCTTAGAAATTGTTTATTGAAATAGACCCCCAGAAGCACTTGACTTTACTCCTGCCATGTTTCTTTCTAGTCCCACCATTTCTATAGTACAGTTAGTTTTTGACCCAAGGAGTTGGTTACTTCTCAGTTCAGTCTGCTTAAAAGGATTAAATTACTTGCAGCATAAACTCTTCTCATTTGCAAAGTTGACTTTTCACATGAATGATTTTCCATCTCAAGAAATTGTTCCTATTTCAAGGACTAACAAATCCTACTTTATAAAGAGACAAAGTGGGTTTCCTAAGGAAGTTCCTATTAAAGAACACCAAACCATCTATTTAAATGGAATCATTGTTGTAACTTATGAGCGTTTTTGCTGCCTCTGCTTCTGTCTAAAATGGAACCATGTGGAGAGTAGCCAACAGTGGAAAGATAGCCCTCTACTATACATTTGTTCTCCTTTCTCTGCAGTTTCTCTTGATAGTACCTCGTGGGCTTTGACCATTGTGTAGCATTTTAGGAAGCTCCCAAATAGACTTATCTTTGGGATCTTAAGAAAATCACTGGATTTCATCAGTCACCCAGCATTGGTAATATGATGGCCATTTAGTAAACTTTAAAGCAGGAAAGAGAAGACAATTGAAAATACTTGTGTTTCATCTGTACGTAGCAAGCTGTAGATTCCACGTGTGCTGTTTGTCTCACTTGGAGGCTTCTCTCTGCTCTTTCTCCAGCACTTTGTTAGTGAACGTAAGTATGATGAGGATCTGGGACGAGTAGCCCGGTTCACCTGTGATGTAGAGACCCTAAAGAAGAACATTGATTCATTTGGACAAGGTGAGATGGTGAGAGATTCTGGGTGCTAGAGATGGTGATGAGAAGACCACGCTCTACGGATTAGAGACTGAAGTGCCCATTGGCTTCTCTACTGAGTCTTCTTTAGTGCCCCTGGGGTTTTTGTTTGTTTGCTTGTTTTAAAGACAAGTTACTCTGAGATACTTAAGAAGTCAGTGGATGCAGATGCCAGACCAAGTTTGAATCCTTGCTTCCACACTAACCCCTTAGAACCTCATTTTACTCCTCTCTAAAATGGAGATAAGGATACCTGCCTTGCCGGGCACACAATAGGTACTTACAAAACAGCTTTAAGGGAGGGAGGGGGAGGCCTCTGAGGTAGGAGTTTGTAGTGACATGTCAGTCAAACCCCGAGCTCAGCTCCTTTGTCCTTTCTATCTCAGTATAAAAGTGAAATGTTGGACCTAGGGCAGTGATTGTGAACTCAACATTAGTCCAGGCTTAAAGCCAGAGAAAAAGCTAGGGAGTAGTTTTAAACCGTCAAATTCTGACAAAATTTGAATTGAAAATATTAATCTTTTTCAGCTAGATTGGTATTTTGAATTTGGATTACTCTTGCAGAAAGACCGTGGGGAAGATACATGTTTGTTGTCAAGACTAGTTCTGTTCATAGTTAACTAATCTTGATTATTTTTACCTTGCATCATTCAAATTTTTAAAAAAGGAGTTAGCTTTTTATTTACCTTTTTCTTTCTTTGCAAAGTCTGTACTTTAGAATGTTCCTTGCATAGGAAACTGAACATATGGCCCATACTATTGTTCCTAGGCTTAGTCAGCTGCTAGAGGCATAGCCAGGAGTTGAGGTAGTAGGAAATGCCAAGAAGTCATTAGGTGGTGGAGGGGATGGGTCATTCTGATCTTAAACTATTCTCCTGTCTCTGAGAGTTCCTTTACAAAATGGTGGGGATTTGGAGGGAGTGGAGGAAGAAGCAGAAGGGAGATTTTCCTTCCTGTTACCTATTTTATAAGCTTTTCTGTACAACTACTGAGTAGACAGTTCTTTATCTTAAATTGCTCATTGTGAAATGGAGAAATAAGGAAAAATTCATCCATCATGTTCTTCCATCTTATGACCGCATATTTCTCATATTTCTGTTGCAGTGTCCCATCCAAAGAACAGCTATTCAACCAGACCCCGATGTAGCTCAGTTACATCTGTGTCCTTGAGTAGCCCGTGTGATGCCTCTGCTGCTTCCTCTTCCACCTGTGCCTCTGCTCCCAGCCTTATAAGTGCTAACAAGAAGAACTCAGCACCAGGAGAGACTCCTTCAGCCACAGCAAACTCCAGTGGCCGGCCCTACCAGCCTTATCGAGAGGTAACCTGGCTTCCACACTGAGCAAGTTAGAAAGAAAGCTACCAGGTTGTCACAGTTTAAATGCTGACAGCTCGATACATTACCTTCCTCTCTTTATTCCCATTCTATACCTATTTTGAATCCCTCCAGCCCCAGTTGGTTCCAGAGAAAGCATTTGGTATATATGTTCCAAACTACCAGCCAGTTTAGATTTCCTGTTGCCAAGACTGCTGACTTGCTGATGTTGGCAGTGATCCTAGCTGTCGTAGGTAGTATTGCCTGGTAATTAGTCACAGTGGGAGTCGTGCACCCATCTCGAGGTAGACAAGCACCACGGTGGCAGGTTCACCAGAGTGCATCTGAAGCAGCAACTCTCTAGAAGCACAGTGTAGAATATTCTATCAGGGAGAGAAGTGAACCTGCTGGGGTGGGGAGCTAACACTAGAAAGTCGAAGCATAATCCATAGTCTCTTTTCCTTGGTTTGAGGAGGATCCACAAGAGCAATCCAAGGCAATGCTGTCAGTAATTCTTCAGAACTGGTATTACATTGGAATTGGAGGACAAAAATAAAATCCCATGCCATAAGCTTTCTGGGTTGTAATGTGAAAGATATACTGAATGTCACAGCAGCATGATTTAATCTGTGGTTCATGATATATAGCTAAGCAGATTATAATGATGCTTATTTAATTATTCCAAATGTTCATTATCTGTTCAAATGGCTTATGATCTGCCAAGTTCAAACATGTGATAAGATACTTGCCCAATTGAGGGCTTGTAACAACCCAAAGAATGTTCTTTCTTCCTTCTTAGCTTTCTTCTTGTGCCCAGCTAAAGAAAAGTGAACTCCTCTTCAGTGGAGAAGAGCCTAGGGGTGAAAGGCGGGGAAAAATAGTGCAAGACTGATTAATTCTGATGTAGTGGCTGGGTTGGATTGGCTGACAGAATTCTGTGAGTCTGAGAGAGAACCGAGTCCCGAGCATGGGATACCTCAATTATGCTTTCAGATTACTCCTATAAACTGAACTGGGACAAACAGGGTACCATAATGCCAGAGTGCTTTGAACATTGTATTCTTTTATCCTTAGGTATTGCCGGGGAACAGACGAGGAGGACAAGGCTACAGGCCACAAGGCCAAAAGTCCAATGACCACATGAACCAAGGGCGACATGACAGTGTGGGGCGTCACAGAAATAGCTCATGGTACTCATCTGGTTCCAGGTATCAGGGTGCGCCAGTCCAGGCACCAGGAAACACAGTGAACGAGGCCAGGCTCACTCTGCAGGGACCAGTGGAACTGGAGCCAGCATGGAGCCCAGCCCACCCAAGCCCTCGTTCAAAAAAGGGGCTCCCCCAGCGCAAACCCAGAACCTCTCAGCCTGAAGCCGTGAATTCGTGAGGGAAATTCCAGTTGGCCTCTCTCCTCTGTCTCACACAATTCAACTTGGTAACTGGACTTTAGGAAACTTATAGTTGGATTTATTAACAAAAAGAAGTTTACACATATCACTTTTTACGCCATTCTAAATATTTTTGGTTTCTTCTCTTCTCATTTCCTCTTTACCATTTTTGGAGGGGAAGCTGTTTTCTTCCTTGACCTTTCCCAATGATATCGATTGATTCTGGTTGGTCATTTCCACCAGGAATCATAGGCAACCATTGCCAGGTTTCTCAAGGGTAAGTGATGTTCTGCCCAGTGCACCAGGCCTTTCAGTTGTCCGAAGAGGCCTTCCTCAGCAACCCCATACTGTTCAGGCTCTCAGGAGGAGATGGATCAGACTGTTGCCTTTCCAGTCTAAGCAGAAGCCGCACACGCCTGTCAGGTTCCCTCGAAACAACACTTTAACCAGAAGAGGCAATGAGGGGATTGCGTGCAGCTCTGAATTAGCCAGAGAAGAGGAAATTTAATTGGTCAAAAGGAAAGAACACTAGGAAACATTCGAGATCTGCCTCTGCTCCCAGAACGTGCCTGAGATCGACACTCAGATCAGGGTTTCAGTCTCCTGCTTGGCACCGTTGCTTAACCTGCAGTTTCTTCAAAATATCCAAAGCCTTGTTTCCTGTTACCTTAGACTGCACACCAGTCTAGGGAAGTCTATGGGAAAGTAGCATTTAATTAAAGGGAAAAAAAATATTTCTTTGTTTCAATGTTTGAAGATTTTTGTTGTTATTGTTGTTCTCCCTCTTTCCTGAATCCTATTCTGATCCTCAACCAAATTTATAGCAATATAATTAGTGTTAATCTAAGGTGTTACCCATCCAAAAATTGCTGCAGTTAATATTTATAGTTGAATAAATAAAAACAGCTGCATCAATGTTCCCACATTTGTTTCACAGCAGCGGGTGGCTTCATTTCACTCTATGTTTTTCTTTGGGTCTCAGGGGTAGAAGTGACTGGGACAGCTTGTTCAGGGCTTAAATGAAGGTGTCTGATTCCTAAGTCATTTGTCCACCGCCTAGCTTCAGAACCAAATTAAAATGTGAAAGCCAGGATGAGCAAATGCAGATGTTCCTGTGGGAAAGGATTTGTAGGATAGGGAATGGTGACTTTCCAAAGGAGAGCTTACCAGTTTAGAAAAAACCACAGCTGCCAGCAGCTCTCCCAGCAACCAGGGGGTATATTGGCACCGCTCCCCTCCGTGCGGTCCCTTGGCAGGAGTGGTGAATGTAACTGGATAATTGAGCTCCTGCACGTAGCAGGTGGCCTTGGTGCCAGACCCCTACACCCACACCCACCAACCGCATCTATGATTTAATAACAGCCGAGCTTTCTCTTTCTCTGAAGCCCAGACTGTAAGTGGCAGTGGTGCAGAACTTAGCTGCCTCAGGGCTTCCCCTGGCTCTTTGGCTGAAGCTGAGCTGCCAGGGTTCAGGTTGGTTGAACAGATTGACAGCGAGTGAGTGTGTGTGTGTCTTTCAGTAACGAAAACAGTCAGGGAGTGCTGGGAAGCCATTTTCTAAGGGGCTGATCACCTCATTTTGGGGAATTTGTCCAACCACACGTGTCATCAGCCTGCTGGGTGTCAGGAAAAAGCCCTGCTTCTCTGATTAATTGCTTACCTGTACTTCATAGGAAATTCAGAGATTGAAGCGACCTCGGAGGATTAGAGGTCTGTCCCTGTGTCCAGGCAAGACCGTATTTACCTGCCCAGACAGATGGGAAGCCACTCGTTTGTCAAAACAGCCTTGAAGTTGAAATTAAAATCTCCTTATAGAAAAATATTTGAAGATTTTTTTTCTATGACCATAAAAAGGTTGAAAATTAGGAATCTTTTTTCTACATTTTGTTTTTAATTACAAAAGTAGTATTTAAAACATCAAATAATACAAAAATATAAAAGGAAAAAGTTAAAGTTTCTGCCTTCCCATTCTATTCCTCAGGGGTAAGGACTGTTAATAGTTTGGCATATATCCTCATAGACCTTTTTCAAAGCATTTATGTGCATATACAAATGGATACATAAGTTTTTAATTTTTTGTTTTGTTTTTATAAAAAGATCATTCTGGCCCGGCCCGGGGGCGAAGTGGTTAAGTGCACGTGCTCCGCTTCGGTGGCCCGGGGTTCGCAGGTTCGGATCCCAGGTGCGCACCCAGGTGCGCACCGACACACTGCTTGTCAAGCCATGCTGTGGTGGCGTCCCATACAAAGTAGAGGAAGATGGGCACAGATGTTAGCCCAGGACCAATCTTCTTCAGCAAAAAGAGGAGGATTGGCATCAGATGTTAGCTCAGGGCTAATCTTCCTCACACAAAAAAATAATAAATAAAAAATTAAAAGATCATACTATATGCATTCTACAATTCTTTTTTTAAAATCATATGATGAACATAATTCATTTAGGATCTCATGTTGTAGGTATTCTTCTAAATTTGCCAATTTGACTTTCTTCAGTGAAGAGAAGTTAGGTTTATCTTAAGTGTGAATTGTGCAGCCCATTCCTTGCTCCCCATCGTAGCTCTGGGCTTCCCAAGAGAGGGGAAGCGCCGAGCCCTGGGCACTCCCACTGGATATTCAGAGAGATCCTACCAAATCATCATTTTTCTTTCCATTTCCATTTCCTCTTAGGGATCATTGTCTTACCCTTTCCCAACCTAGAGATAGGACTGAAACTTCAGGTGGTTTAGCTCTGTCGGTTATGTGCCACTTGAGAGAGAAAATTTAAATTAGCATGGCTTCATTATGAACATCACAAATTTCCTAGGCCCCTTATTTATGGCAATTCTTAAAATTCACTTTTAAACATAGTAATACAAATGAGTTTTTTTTTTTTAAAAATTTAATTAATTAATTTTTTCCCCCCCAAAGCCCCAGTAGATAGTTGTATGTCATAGCTACATATCCTTCTAGTTGATGTATGTGGGATGCGGCCTCAGCATGGCTGGAGAAGCAGTACGTCGGTGCACGCCTGGGATCCGAACCCAGAGCCGCCAGCAGCGGAGCGCACGCACTTAACCGCTAAGCCATGGGGCCGGCCCCAAATGAGTTTTTTTTTAAAGGTACAAAATATACATGATGGAAAGTAAAAGATCCTCCCCTACCTTGTCCCACTCCCCAGGAGAAATCACTGATAAATTTCTTGTATATCTTTCCACAAGTTTTCTAAATCCAAACATGCAAATATATTTTTCTTTCTTTTACATAAATGGGAATCATACTCTGCGTACTCCTATACAACTTGCTTTTTTCACTTGTCCTCACTTTTGGTAACAGTTTTTGTTTTGTTTTAAGAAAAATCAATATATATAAATGATAAAAAAAAATTAAAAATCTAAACAGTTCAAAAGGATATATGATGAAAAATAAGCCTGCATCCCACTCTGGACTATTTGTCCCTCCCCAGAGGCAAGCACTGTTAAGTCTCTTGTGCATCCCCTTGGAGATCCTCTATACTAGCACACATATATCATGAGAATGTGTACCACTTAGACCTCTTTCCATGTCAGTATACATAGATATACCTTGTTCTTTCTATGGCTGCATAGTATCCCATTGTATAAATTTGTCATAACTTAGTTTAACCAGTCGCTAATGATGGTTTTCAGTTTTTTGCTATTACAAATATTGCTGAAATGAGCATCTCATAATACGTATATCATTCCTCACTTGTGAGAGTATATCTTAGGGTAAATTCCTAGGAGTGGAATTGCTGGATCATATAGTTATTGACAATGTATAGAGACACGTGCATTTACACTCTTACCAGCAGTGATTGGGAGTGCTTTGTACAGTTGCTGAGCTGGAAGCTAAGCAGAGAGAGAAAGATAACTAAAACACAGTCCTTCAAGGGGCTAATAAACTAGTTGGGGCAACTGAGACATATGGACAAAATAATACAAGGTAATAGTGTTGCCTGAAAGAGCCACCTGTCTTCTGTGAGTAAAGAGGGCAGCACTGCTCTAAGGGCTGGTCCTTTGCTTGAACTAGCACCATAGCAAGAGGTGATCCGGCATTTGTTCAGCAGTTGATAGAGTGGCCTCATGTTTCAGAGTCCCAAACCAGGGTTGTGAGGATGAATGTCTGTATGGGAAAAACAGGATAAACTATTTTAGGTTGGGAGTGACCTGGAAAAGCCAGGATGCATGGTTATCAATCTGTGAAGTAGCCTCTACTTTTGGAGAAGGTCAGTAGAGTGATGACTTGTCGCCCCTGGAAATTCTGCCATTTGACCCAACAAAATGAGGCTTTGTCTTGCCTGACTGATAGGGCTCATCCCCCCTTATTGTCCTACCTGGTGAGGATTACATCCATACAGCAGCACACTTCCTGGAAGAAACAGGGGTCCAAGACAGTACATGTTTGGAGGTCACCAGCTGATAGAAGGAGCTGTTTTGTCACTATTTTAGCCAGTTCAGAGAACCAGATTATAATACTGGCAGCCAGAACAACATCCTGTAAAATCAGTCAAGCTGGACTTCTGGTTGCTTTAGCCACCTGAGCACATTCTTTCTTTCCTTCAAACACTGAGGCACCTGCTGTGTGCTAGGCCCTATGCTGAGATCTGAGGCAAAGATAAATGGTTCCAGCTCTTTCCTCAACCACTTTGCAGGTGAAGGAAAGAGAGCTCTTAGCTCTTCCTTAAACTCGGAAGCCGTGCCTGGTGGCTAGGCAGTGTGGTAGAGTGGAAAGGCCCTGGACGTTTGAGACATATACTTGGATTTTACCTCTGGCTTCACAACTTGGTAGCTATGTGACCTACTAACCCTGGGAAAATGACGTAACATCTCAACCTTTTCCTGAACTATAAAGTGGAGACAATGGCAACTACTTCCTGGAGGGGAACGATACCCTGTGACAAGTTGAACCTTCGCTCACCATAACTCCTGTGCTTTTCTGTCTCTCTCACCCTGTTAAAAGGTGTATGAAAGACCTCCCCCATCTCCAGCCAAACAGACCTTAACCAAAAAAATAATAGTAATTCAGTCATCCTATTTCCTTTTGTAGCTTTCCTCTGAGTACATGTCCCCCCAGCATGTCTGCCATGCCTGTCAAAAGCGCACCCCCACCCCCATTTCTGAGCTCTCTGGTGAGGCAGGCCCGATGCTGGTGGCGCTGGCCTGGGTGAACAGTCACCAGCACAGTGGCACACAGGAGCGCAGCTGGAGTCAGGGGTTCCCAGGGGAGAGCCAGGGAACGTTATTTCCATACAGGTGCTGAGGGAGTTTTATTACCTACTGTGCTACTCCTTACCAAGGAGGAAACACTACCTGAAGATTTTTCTGGGTGAGGAAACTCACCCACCATCACCACCACCAGCACAACTGTTCTCCAGCCCGCCCTCCCGCCCCTTCACTGCCGTCAAAACAGCGGGAACAAATACCACCCACTCTGATTCCTCAGGGAAAAGTCAGGTCTCCTTTTTATGTCTCTCTTCAACTTAACCCAGTTAGGCTTTCTCTGTAACTCAATGTCAAACAAACCCATTTTCTGGTGCTGCTAGAACACACAGACTGAGAGATTGAGAAGATTTCTCAGACTCACTCCCTTGCCAGCTCCAGGCAGGATTGGGGTAGAGCGCCCTCCGGCAGGCGGGGCCTACAGTCACCTGCAGTCTCCCCACGGCATGAAGTCCACATTGCTGTTCACGGAGGGCACTCCCTACAGGTCACCATCTGACCATTCACCAAGATGACCACACTGTCCCCTTTTAACAGGCTGTTTACCAAAGGACGGGACAAAGCGCCCCAGCAGCATCCAAGAGGGGAGGACAGGGGAGGGGACCCTGGGCTCTGTTCCTCGACAGCCACCTGTTCCCACCCCCCTGCACACAGCGACTGACTCCGCCTGCGCTTATGGGGGGAGGGGGAGCTTTTTCCATCTTTTGTGTCTTGAGCATTTTTTTCCTTGCTTTGCTCTTCCCTTCTCTCTCCTTGTTCCTTTTGTAGATAATACTCCCACAGGCCTCCCACGGCAGCTCCAAAACGCAGCCTCCTGAATTTCTCCTTGTTGACAGTGGCTTTGAGCTGTCTCTGAACAGGGCTCCCCCTCAACCTTCCCCTCCCCATGACTCCCCACCATGGCCCTAATGGGTCACGAGTTGGGGGAAGGGGAGACGAAAAGGAGATTACAGTAGGAGGCCAGTCTCCCTGACCAGTGCCCTGTTCACTTTCCAACTGCTCCCCAAAACCCATCTCACTGTCTCCTAAACGTGGGTCCCGGCCCCTTGTGTATGTGTTGGGAGGTGGAAGGAGAAGGCGAGGAATTCATCCCTGAGACCTGAGGGAACCTCTAGGTCAGGTCTGGCAGGAAGATCTAAGGGACTAAGTAAAGTGGAAGAGAGAGGACAGTGGGCTGAGATCCTACACCTGAAATTTATCTAGATAGAAAGGACCTCTTAAATCAGGCCAGACTAACAGAAAGGGTCTGTGGCTACACCCCCACCCCATATACACATGCACACAAATTCTTTGAAGGGCAATGGGGGAAGGGACTTAAAGGCCAAAGCAGACTGCTGTTTCATTCTAGGATAAGAGTGACCATAACATTCCATAAATGTCAGTATATTTTCTTCCCCTGGAAGTGGGGCCATGGGCACCAAAACAGTGCCACAGGCATTGTGCCTGGAGTTGCTCAAGGAGGCAGTTGTCTTAGACAAGACGTTTAAGCTCTCTGCTTCCACGTTTCTGTAAATCAGCAGTTACAACAGTAACAGTAATGATGAAGTAACAGTAACATAGCAGTAATGATGAAGATTAACGGGATAATGCAAGTAAAGCACTTAGCATGGTCCCTGGCACAAAGGTGATGCTCAATAAAAGTAGGCTATTGTGGTTCTTTGAGGCACCCCATACATTCCATCTATCCCCTGCTCACCCCGACCCAAAGTGTCTGGTTTAGTTTAGTGTCCAAAACCAGCCCAGGCAGATGAGCTGGAAGCTTCAAAGTCTGAACATCTGGGGCTTACAGGGGTGACGTGAGGACTACCTGGATCCACGGGACTCCAGACGACCAGTCTTCGTGAGTGCCCACACAGCTAGCCTGTGGTTCTGTCGGGGTCCTCATAGTGGGAGACAGCTATGCTGGAGTGAGGCTGACCTGAACCTGGGGTTGGGGTTGTCGGGGTTGGAACCTTAACTCTGCCATGTACCAACCTGGTTACCTTGAGCAAGTCTGTCTCTCTCTCTGGCATCTGCCTTTGCTATTTCACAGGGCTCCCTTAAAATTCAAAATCAGATAATAATAAACATTTACATAATGCAAATGTCACAGACTGTTCTAGATCCTCTACTCATCTAATCCTCCTAACAACCCTCTGAGGTAGCTATTACCACTCCCATTTGACAGACGAGAAAATGGAGTCACAAAAGGAAAATCAGACAGCAGGTGCCAGGGCTATCCTCAAACCTAGGGAGCCTGGTTCTCAGGTTGGTGGTGCTTTCACCACAGCCTCGTCCTGTCTCAAAGTGAGCTGACTCCTACACTGCACCCTCTCCTTAGTAGAACGCTTGAACTTCGCCTGGAGGGACACAGATGAACGGCTGGGGGAGGGGTTACTTTGCAGCCCGGGACCTATGTCGGGGGGCGGGTTGGGGATGGCGATCATGCAGACTCCTTAGGGTCATTCTTCCTGGGAGCAGGATTTCAGGACTCAGAGGACTAGGGGACGGGGACTCTTCCTCCCTTCCCTCCCAAAGCACCAGCTCATTTTAATACAGGTGCCTGGAGCTTTGGCCCTTGTCGCTGACGAGGGGTGGGTGGAGCGGGGGACACTTTCTTTCCGATGCTGCTGACTGTGCATGTGTCTCCTAGAGGGGTGGGGGTGCTGAGCCTCCCGCTTCACTCGTTTGGGAACAAATTGCTGTTTTGGCCCTAGCGGCTCCCCGGGGCGCGGGCGGTAGCCGCGCTCGCTGGCAAATCGTGGGCGGGAGGAGGAGCGGCGCTGGCAGCTCGAGGCTGGGGGGGACCGAAGCAGCGCCGGAGACCAGCAAGCGACGGCCGCCCTGGGCCGGGCTCCGCTCCGCCATGCCCGGCCCCCCTCCCCACCCCCTCACGGGAGAGGGTCCTTGCAGCCACCTCTCCCTCGGCAGCTCCACTTTCAGCGCGGAGCCTAGTTCTCTAGGACTGAAGTGGGGCGGTGGGGGGCGGAGGTTCGGTCCTCCTCACTCCCGGCTTCAAGGACCCGCGTGCACAAGGTTAGGAAGTTTTTCCCAGCGTCTGACGTCTCCTATCCCCTGTATTTGCAACCTGACCCTCTAGCGCAGCCTGGGAGCGGCAAAAGGTGACAAATAATAGAGAGAAATACAAGGGCGAGACAAATGGTCTAGGGCTTCCCCCCTCTCCCCTGTCCGCCTTTCCACTCCCAGGGCACAAGAAGAACGTCTGAACCTTACTCCCAGGGCTACCCACCCTCCAGTTTTCTGCTCCTGCCTGCCGCGGCATCTCCTAGTGATGGCTCGATCCATTTTCCAGAGGGTCAAAGGTGAGGCTGAGAAAGGCTTGGATGCCCAGAAGCTGTGTTCAGACCTCCCCTCCCCCCAGTGTCCTTTTAGACTTCCCCTGTAGAGTTGGAGCCCCTCTAACCTACTACCAACTACCGGGCCTTCACTACCTCCGCCTAATTGCCCAGCCCCCTCTCCCATTACATTTTTTCTAGGGGAAAGCATCTTCTAAAACATACACCCCCGGCCCTGAGCTCTCCGGAGGTCTCTCCGGGGGAGGAGAGGCTGCGCGGCTCTCTGAGAACCCCCCTGCTGCAGAGAAAGACGCCTCGCCCCTGCGGCTGAGTCACCCGAGCGGCACCAGGCGCTCGCTCGTCGTTCTCCGAGGGGCAGGCGGGGCGGCTTGGGGCGGCCCCGGCGGCCCGCGTGGGGGGATGGGGGGATGCGCCGCCTCCCCTGCCCCCACCGAGGTCCCGAGGGGAGGGGGAATCCCTCGGCGAGAGGCATGTCCCTTTAAGAAGGCGGCCCAGCCTGGGTGTGCCCCGTCTCCATGGTTACCCCGGTGCAGGCGGCAGGCGCGGGAGGGAGGGAAGGAGGCTGCAGCTTCTCCCCGACAGACGGAGGGAGCTGGGGGCACCCGGCGCCGAGCGGAGCGCGAGCCGGAGCCGACCCGCAGCCGAGACGCGAGCCGCCGCCGCCGCGAGCAGAAGGTGCAGAAAGCGCAGCGGGCGAAGGGCCCGTAGCTCGGGATTCGTGGGCGGCCAGGGCGCGAGGGACCGCGCGCCATGCTCCCGGCCCCGACGGCGGGGACGCCCCCTTGCGCGCGGGCGGCTGGCGGGGCCTGCGAGCCTGGGGTGGGCATTGCCCCCCGACGGCTGTGCTAGGGGGCGCGGGGCCCGGCGGGGGGCGGCCAAGCTGGGCGCCCTCCCCCGGCGCTGAGTCCCCGCGCCCCGGAGGGATGGGGCGGGCGGCTACGGTCGCCTAAAATGCCGGCCATGCGGGGACTCCTGGCGCCGCAGAACACCTTCCTGGACACCATCGCCACGCGCTTCGACGGCACGCGTGAGTCCGACCCTCGCCCCACTGGCTCGCGGACGAGCCGTCCCCTCCCAGGGTCCCCGCCGGTCTTGCACCCCACATCTCGGCCTGGCGCCCTCTTGTTCTCACCCTCCCTTCTTCCTCCCGCTCCCCGCTTTTACCTGGGACCACCATCTCCTTCCAGGCGCCGTTTCCCTGAAAGGTTCGGAGTCAGCATTGCCCCAGGCCAGGCACAAGGCCAGGATGCAGTCTGTTCGCTGGGGCGTGAACCCCGACCTAGTCAATCTAACCCATCCCATCCCTGCGTCTAGCGCTACACCACTGACTACCCTCGAAGGAGGGTTGTGGGGTGGGGAAGCGGTACTCAGAGACTGCCCGGAGGACTCAAACAACAGATTTAGAAAAGAGGTTAGCAAATGAAATAGAGTAGGCTGGACTCAGGAGCGCACTGTCCAAGCTCACCTCACCGCCTAAACCCACGGAGCCCCCTAGCCCCCAAAAGATAGGTTTGGGGACTCCCACCAAGACTAGGGAAGTTTGGAGAAGGCGACCAGAGCTTCTGGATCCTGGGTTCCTGGGGCTCTGAGCTCAGGGAAGGTCACTAAAGCCCCCTTCCTCCTCTTCCCTCACACTCACCCCCAGTGGGGCTTCCCAACACTCTGCCTATCGGCTTCCACGGTCTCCCGGTCTCCCGGTTCCTGATAGGGGGCGGGAGCCCATCTCTGAGCGCCGCCCCCTCCAGTCTTCTCCATCTGCTTTGCTGTGTGCTTGGCTCCTGCAGCCTGCTGATTCAGCGCCCCCCACTCCCCAATGCATTCCTGGCTCCAGGCTCCAGGGTTTAGCTACCATTCTTACACCCCCATTCTCCACCACATTCACTAATTCCTGAGCCAGGTCAGGCAGCTGGGCGTCAAACAGAGAGCACAGAATGGATGGTGGCCTGGGCTGCCTCCCAGTTCAGGTGGGTCCCAGTGCCAGGAGCCAGAGAGCCAACATGCATACCTGGCTGGTGAGTGAGCCTGGCAGAGGTAGAGGTGGGGCTGAGGCTGGCCTAAAGCTTGTCCTGCAGTCTTTCTTTGGGCCTCTCCAACCCCACCCCCTTCCCCAAGCTGCTCAGGACACACTCCAGAGGGCACCATACCCACACACATACCAACCTCAGGGTGCACACGTGCTGATCCTCGAATGCACTCATAACCTGCTGCTAGGAGTGGGCCCTTGCAGGGCACTGACACACAGGTGACGCACTGATTCCTGTTTATAAACAGCTCCTGCCTTCCCCCCAAACACACACACACACAGGATTCCTGGGGTTTGTAACACCCACACTTTGGTTGCAGGCATTTGGGAAAGGAGGGGTGGTAGACCCCGTGCCCCTCCACCCCACGCCTGCTCTGAGAGGTGCTCTCTTGCAGACAGTAACTTCGTGCTGGGCAACGCCCAGGTGGCGGGGCTCTTCCCCGTGGTCTACTGCTCTGATGGCTTCTGCGACCTCACGGGTTTCTCCCGGGCTGAGGTCATGCAGCGGGGCTGCGCCTGCTCCTTCCTCTATGGGCCAGACACCAGTGAGCTCGTCCGCCAGCAGATCCGCAAGGCCCTGGATGAGCACAAGGAGTTCAAGGCTGAGCTGATCCTGTACCGGAAGAGCGGTGAGGGGCCACCTGGCCGGGCCGCCTCACCTTCGTGGTCTCACCAAGCCTGCCACCCACCCCATCCACTGTCCCTCCTTTCCAGTCTCATCTTCTCCGTCTCCCCATCTCATCCCACCTTCCCGCATAACCATCTCCTCTTCCTCCACCTCACCTCTTGCCCCAACCCCTCCTCTCTTCCATCCTCACCCCAGCCTCAGCCTCCACTCTATCTTCCATCTTGGGTGTCCGATCCCAGCATAAAAATGTCCCCATGTCAGCAGGGCAGATCTATGAACACACGTGTCTGATGGTCACCTCTGCTCTCCCTTGCCTTCCCCCGCCCTGTTCCGTCAAGCCCTGTCCTGAGTGGAGCCAGGATGCCTCTCCTCTCTGAGGAAAGCTCAGATTCTGCTTGCGTCTTGGCCAGGGGTGTCAGTGGAGCCTCTGTTGCCTTGGGCGGGGTGGAGAATGAGAGCCGGGCTGAGTCTGTCTTTGTGCCCAGGGCTCCCGTTCTGGTGTCTCCTGGATGTGATCCCCATAAAGAATGAGAAAGGGGAGGTGGCCCTCTTCCTGGTCTCTCACAAGGACATCAGTGACACCAAGAACCGAGGGGGCCCAGACAACTGGAAGGAGAGAGGTGGGTGCCCGTGGGGCTGTTGATTTAGCTGCTGTGGCTGGGGCGTTGGGTACCTCAGGCCTGGGTGGGGCCTTAGCACCCAGTGTGGGTCCGTGGGTCCCCTCACCTCTCTTAGACTCATTGGCTCCCACTCTGCTGGCTGAGAGGGCTGTGCTGCTCTCATCTGCACATGCCCAGGTATGGAAAGCAGGTTTCCAAATGGACCAGTTGAGACAAAGTTGGCATTTTGAAGTCAACTTTGCTAAGAAACTGAAAGCAAACAAATCCACTAGTGCCTGTGAGGTACCATCTTCTGACAGTTAGTGAGGCTGAGCACAGCCCACCTGGTGCCTTTTCCTCACACAAACCTGACTGGGGCAGCCTGGCCAAAGCCCTCTTTTAAGCCCTTGAGATCTTTCCCTTCTTGTGTCCTCCAAGGGCTGGGGAAGGCCTTTGGACAGCTCAGAAAGCTGTCGTCAGAAGCTGCTCCAAGGGCTCTTTGCCACTTGAGGATGCTGGGGGTACTCTCCATTCCCATCCACCTCCCATCCCTGGGTCGACTTCTCTGCCATGTAAGTCTCCAGGGGCTCCTGTACCTGGACGCTGGGCTCTTTCTCTGAGCTCCCTGAACTCTGCTGATGGCCTCGTGCTTGCTCGGCACTCCCGCCACCCCTGGGAACCAGCTCCCCCCTCCTCTCCCAGGCCTCTCCCTGTGGAGATCCTCTCCTGCCTTGCCTTGGTGTGGACCTCCTTCTCCTGGACGCCGGCACTGGGAGTGGTGTCTGTAAGCACCCGCAGGGCTGCCCACCACTGGGATTGGCAAGTGACCCTAGGAAGTGAGGAGTGCCAGAGCCCCCAGCAGTCAATGAGCCAGACCTGTCCACGGACCAGCAACTGCTGTCCTACCCCCAAGACCCTGTGCTGGGGTGTCTGGGAGCTCACCCATCATCCTCACGGGCCCCTCTTCTTTTGCAGGTGGTGGCCGTCGCCGATATGGCCGGGCAGGATCCAAAGGCTTCAATGCCAACCGGCGGCGGAGCCGGGCTGTGCTCTATCACCTGTCTGGGCACCTGCAGAAGCAGCCCAAGGGCAAGCACAAGCTCAATAAGGTGGATTGCGCCCTCGGCTGTGTGTTTTGGGGGGTGGGGCAGGGTAGGGCAGGCTGGGGAGGTGGAGGAGGGGAACTGAGCCCACAGGGAGAATGTCCGGGGGCCACCCAGGCCCCAGCAGCACTTTGGGGCTTGTGGCTGAGGGAGAGAACGTCACATGCCTGATCCATGGAAGATATAGAGGAGAGTCTTGGCCTTGGGTCAGATGGGCATTGGCTCGATCCTGTTCCTCCCCTGAGCAGCTGTGTGACCTCAGCTCAGTCTCCTGACCCAGTTGATCCTCAGTTTTCTGATCTATAACACGGGGGCTCTGATGACTACGTCAGCGGTTGCTTTGAGAATGCAGGGAGGGAAAGGAGGTGGATGTCTGTCCCGGATCCCATCCGAACTCAGCCTGTGCCAATTTCCTGTCCTCCCTGCCTGGACCTGCCCTGCCTCCCTCAGGGCGTGTTTGGGGAGAAGCCAAACTTGCCCGAGTACAAAGTAGCCGCCATCCGGAAGTCACCCTTCATCCTGCTGCACTGTGGGGCGCTGAGGGCCACTTGGGACGGCTTCATCCTGCTTGCCACCCTCTACGTGGCCGTGACCGTGCCCTACAGCGTGTGCGTGAGCACAGCCCGGGAGCCCAGCTCGGCCCGCAGCCCCCCCAGCGTCTGCGACCTGGCCGTGGAGGTCCTCTTCATTCTCGGTATGTGCGCTCTGTGCCTCCCACCCCACCCTGTGCCGGGCGCCCCTCGGGCTTTGGTGGGGATAGTCTGCATGGCTCCAGTGCCCCACAAGTGTCTCCCTTGCCCTCCCCCTGTCGGTGACCTGTGGGCTTTGAAATCAGACCTAGGTTCCAAACGTGTCTCTACCAGGAATGGGTTATATGACCCTGAGCCAATCGTAGCCTCTCCAAGCCTCAGTTTCTCCTTCCATCAAATAGGCATAAGGATGTCAGTTACTGTGAGAACTAGGTGATGCATGTAAGGAGCCTGGGACAGTGTGAAATACTGAGCAGGCGCCCAGGAAAGAACGGCTGCTCCCCCGCCCTGTGCTGACTCCCGCTCCGACTTCCTGCAGACATTGTGCTGAATTTCCGCACCACGTTCGTGTCCAAGTCAGGCCAGGTGGTGTTCGCCCCAAAGTCTATTTGCCTCCACTACGTTACCACCTGGTTCCTGCTGGATGTCATCGCGGCGCTGCCCTTCGACCTGCTCCACGCCTTCAAGGTCAACGTGGTCCGTGTGGCTGGGCGGGTGGGCTTTGGGGCGGGACAGGCCGGCCGGCCTGGGGGTGACCTCCCTCCCCCCCACCTCAGTACGTCGGGGCCCACCTGCTGAAGACGGTGCGGCTGCTGCGCTTGCTGCGCCTGCTCCCGCGGCTGGACCGCTACTCGCAGTACAGCGCCGTGGTGCTGACCCTGCTCATGGCTGTGTTCGCCCTGCTCGCCCACTGGGTGGCCTGCGTCTGGTTCTACATCGGCCAGCGGGAGATTGAGAGCAGCGCATCTGAGCTGCCCGAGATCGGTACTGGAGACTCCCTGTGTGTAGGGGGCGGTGTGTGTGCGTACGTATGTGCCAGAGGACTATGTCTACTCGAGTGTGCGTGTGTTGGGGACATGTGAGTGCAGGCTTGTGCCTCTCAGGGTATGTCTGTGAGCTGATACAAGGTATCAGAGATACGTGTGCAGGTCTGTGTGTGTATGTGCTCATATGTGTGTGTCAGGGGGCATGTGTGCAAGTAGGCATGTGTTTGTGAGAAGAATGTGGGGGCTGATGTGTGCATGTAGATGCTAGTGTGACAGAGCCACTGCCTCGAGGTAGGCCTGTTCTCCCACAGCTGGACATTGTGGAGAAAGCCTGGTGGGCTGCCTGGGGGAGTGTCCTACTCACCCATTATGGCCTCCTCGTGGCCAAATTTTGGTCACATTTTTCAAGCCCCTGCCCAGCTGGGAACCTCACTTCTCTCAGGAGAAGGCTGTGCAGGGAGCTGCTGCCCTCCAGGGTTCCTCTGATGCCTGGCGCTTTCTCACCGCCCTCTCTGAAGCTCGTCCCCCGCCACCTTGGCTCCTAAGGCCCCTTCCCCACTCTCGTCACCTCCAGCCCGCGTCTCTCTGAGCTACTTCTCAGGCCTCTCCCAGCCTAACACGCAGCCTTTTTCTGCGTCCCAACGGTGTCTTCGCTCTCCTTCAATTCACCTCCACTTCCACAGCTCCTCCCTCTGCTCACCTCCCACTCACGTCTTAATTCCTGCCGGGAGGGCTTCCACCCCCACCCCTCATCCCAAAATGTCACCTAGAAGGTCATGGTGACCTTCTGGGGCCAAATCCTTGTCCCCTTGAAGTCCCTGTAGCACCTGACCCTGCCAACCACCCTCCTTGGAAATGTTCTGCCTCCTCCTGCGCCAGCCCCTCCCAGTCCCGGGCTTTCCTCCCATCTCCCCGCCCGCCTTACCTTGTTCTCTCTTGGTGATTCTGCTGCGCCACCACATCTCCACTTCCATCCTGTCTCCCTCTAACTCCAAACCATTCTGTTCCCGCTGTTTCTAACTCTCCATACCCCACAGCTCCAGCCCTGTCCACTTGCCAACACCCGGCCTTTAGTGCGGTTTCCAGTCAGTGGGCAGGAGGCCAGCTGTTCCAACGGCCTCTCGTGACCAGGCCTTGGCTCCCCAGGCATCCAGGTCAGCCTGAGAAACCTGCTCCATCAGTTCCCGGGGATAAGGAGGCTCCTGCCAGTCCTCTCTCTCTCACCACGTGGAGACCAGTGTGTCACCCAGAGGCCCGCTTGGATAGTCCCCAAGCGTTGTAGTTGCCGAGCACACGGAACCAGGACGCCCCGGGCAGTGTCAGCTCCTTGGCGCCTGCCCTTCCCAGAGGGAAGGTGGTAGAAGCTGCTCTGAGGTCAGACGGCCACCCAGAGAACAAGGTCAGAGGGCCAGAGATGGATAATGGTGACAGAAACCCTGACCGCAAAGTGGGCTAAGACACCCCAGATCCCCTGGTCAGCCACCCCTTACCCACAACAGGACTCATACCTCCTGGGTGTTGCATCCATGTGGCTCCTCTGTTCTGACCCCCTCGTGGGGGCTGCTGAGCTGACATTAAGGACAGCTTTGGCTCCCAGAGGGGCTCTGAGCCCAGCCCTAGAGAGCACAGGGGATGTGGGGGGCTGGCTATTTTACAGATATACGTGATAATTGCTTTACCTTGAACCCCAAGTTCCAGAGTGGTTTCCTTCTATTTGGGGCTGTGACTAGTTGACATTTGGGGCATTTCCAAGTCCTTCACATCATCCTCTCTCCCTTCTTTCTCTGGGGAAACTGCCCCCCAGCTGGGTTGGAGCCCCCCCTGGGCCTCCCAAAGTCAGCCCTGGAAGGGAGGTCTGTGGGGGGAGAGTGGCCCCCTGCTGGCCCGCTCTGTCCCATGGGAGGCACCTTCCCGTCCCATGGCTTCCTTGCCTCGGTTCCCCTGTTCCACTGTCCGTGGTGTGGACAGAGTTCTCACCCCAGATTCCCATTAGCCCAGGGGAGATGGGCTGGATTTTCAAAAGATTGTGCTAAATACTGAGGAAGAGCACTCTGGGCATTTCTCAGTGTGAAAGCCACCAGCCTCCAGAACAGCCTCTGCCGGCCTGACCCTCCCCACACGGAGGCACCATCCCACCACCAGCTCCAAGAGTTGTCCACGCCCCGTGGCCAAGACAGAGAGGAGAGGCCGCTCTGCCACCCTCCCCTCATCCCCCTGCTTCTGGCCCCCTCTGGCAGGCCCCCCACCCTCCTCACTTGGCAACTGGCGTCACGTCAGGGGACCAACTAAGTAATGACTGAAGAGTGCTGCATATTCCCGTGCATTCTCACAGCACACCTCAGGTAATGGGCTGAATCCTCACCTTGGCTCAGGCCTTAACACATCCCCCCAAATTCCTCAGCCTGGAATCTGATGCCCCCAATGTGAACCCCCCACTCTAGCTAAGTGGAGCTTCTTGCCTATTCTCTCCATCTCTAGGCTTGGCCCATGCCTTTCCCTAGGTCAGGACTGGTCCCCTCTCAGTTTCTTTGTTTCAAAACTCTACCCATCCTCTGAGACCAAGTGCCAGTGTCCCCTCTTCCTGGCGGCCTTCTAGCACAAAGTACATTGGTTTGAGCCCCGTCATGTGGCACTTGGGCTGTGTGTACCTCTGAGATGTGGCTGCTACCCTGCAGTAAGCTCCTGTGGGTCCCCCCAGCTCCTGGCACACATGTGTGAGTTTGCTGAGTGAATGATGGGTGGGTGGGAGGAGTGTGGCGGGGGGGGGGGGGGGGGATGGGGGGGGGGGGGTGGGTGGGTGGGGGGAGTCGGGACCACAGGGAGCAGTGTGTGTGAGGTGTTGGGGAGAGTGTGGAGTAGAGGGGTGGGGTGTGCTGAGGTGGGAGGGACAGGGCACATGCAGAGAGGTGGGTACCACTGCAGCCCACCCTCTTCGTCTCCATTCTACATCAGCCAATATGCCCTCTCTCCTCTGCTCCCCATAGCCCCCAGCTCTGTCGGGACCCCTGGGACCTCTGCAGGCCCTGGGAGCCCCCATCCAACACCCTGGAACTCCCACAACCCTCCAGCTAGGTTCACAGTGACTTCGGGCAGCCATGGGCTCCTGAGAGACCCCAGTCCACAGCCCCACGTCCTGCCAAGGCCAGGCCAGAGAAAGTGGCGTTGACAGGGAGACAGGCAATCTTCAGCCTCCGCCCGGTGGCCCAGTCTGGCCCATGTCTACACGTGTGCTCAGGAGCCTCTGTGTGTGCACACGTGCTTGCCTGTCTGTGGCCTTTGAGTGATTCACCTGTGAGCTCATGTCCATGCAAGTGTGTCCCCTCCCCTACCTGGATGTTAGCAGGTGAGCACCTGTGTACCCTTGTCTCTGTCCCAAGTGTGCACAGGCCTTTTGTGTGTGAACAGCTGTGGCTATGCACCTGTGAACGTGCTCACACATGTGTGTCCTTGTCCCCTCTACTGTGTGGAGCACATGTGTGGCCTCAGTGGTGTCCACTGCACACGTCCACATCGGTGTGCTTCAGAACGTGTGCATGAGGGTGGGTGATTTGTGTGGTTGTGGGGAAGGATGAGGCTGAATGGGGGGTGGCTTTCTGGAGCAGGCCAGCTCAGAGAAAGAACAAGAGGAGTCTGAGTAGACAGGGCAGAGGAGGTGGCTCCACCAGTCCCACCCTGGGGACGAGGCTGTGACTGGTGCAGTGAGCCCTGCCAGTCCCTCTGCCCCCTCCAGCTGGGCCTGTTACCTGAGATTAGTGCCAGCCATGGGGAAGAGGGTGCGATGCTCCTGCTCCATCCTCGGTGCCAATAGAAGTCTGCTGGGGAGATGACAGCCTTGTCCTCATGTGCTTGTCTTACCAAGGGTTGAGGGGCTGGACGGGGCTGTGCTGGGCTGGCAGAGGAGGAAAGTGGCAGGAAGCCATAGGGGGTGGATCTGCATCCACATGTCCCCCACGCCAGGGATACCCGGCAGGCACACCTGCACCCACAGTGCAGCGGTGCTGTCCCGCCCCCTTCCCAGGCTGGCTGCAGGAGCTGGCCCGCCGACTGGAGACCCCCTACTACCTGGTGGGCCGGAGCCCAGCTGTCGGGAACAGCTCTGGCCAGAGTGACAACTGTAGCAGCGGCAGCAGCGAGGCCAACAGGACGGGGCTGGAGCTCCTGGGCGGCCCGTCGCTGCGCAGCGCCTACATCACCTCCCTCTACTTCGCACTCAGCAGCCTCACCAGCGTGGGCTTCGGCAACGTGTCCGCCAACACGGACACAGAGAAGATTTTCTCCATCTGCACCATGCTCATCGGCGGTGAGGCCTGCCGCTCTCCCTGTCCCTGCCCCTCCTAGACTTCTGGCCCCAGGCGGCCCCACCCTCCCCACCTCCCCCAGGGTCCTGAGGTCCTTCCCAGAGGTTCTTCTGCTTTAAGGGGCCCAAGGAACACAGGCCAGGGCCGGCAGAGCCCCCTCGGCTGCAGGACTCCAGCCGCACAGCGGCCTGTGTGCCTTGCCTAGGAGTAGGGGGAGGACAGATGTGTCCGGCACGGTGTCAGGCCCGGCCCGGCCAGTCCTGGAGGTGACCCCCTCTCGCCACCTTCCCCAGCCCTGATGCACGCGGTGGTATTTGGGAACGTGACGGCCATCATCCAGCGCATGTACGCCCGCCGCTTTCTGTACCACAGCCGCACCCGCGACCTGCGTGACTACATTCGCATCCACCGCATCCCCAAGCCCCTCAAGCAGCGCATGCTCGAGTACTTTCAGGCGACCTGGGCCGTGAACAACGGCATCGACACCACCGAGGTACGCAGGCCTCCAGGGCTGGCCCTTTCAGCCTTGGCTCCCTCCGGGGGTGTGCGTCTGGCCAAAATTCCCAGGAGTGGGCTGGGGAAGGGGCACAGAATGCAGAATCCTGGCCTCCCTGCCTCCGCTTTCTCCTGGGGGGACAGCAGCCTGGGACAGAGGGCAGCCCAGAAGGCTGGGAGGCCTCTCTCCACTCTTGTTAGGTCAGGAGGTTCTGCTCACTGGTCTTCAAGCCTGAGGCTGGAGGAGGAAAGCTGGGCTGTTCATGGGGGGCTAAAGTGATTGAGAGGGAGGCAGAGACAGCCCCTCACTGATGGTGGTACCCTGTGTGGAGCTTGCTGCTGTGCGGGGGGCCTCAAGTTCCCTCCCACACCTCCCCATGCTCCTGGGGCCCGCTGGGGTAGAAAGGGGCTGGCTGGAGGCTGCCTCCCGTTCTGCCATGACAACCCTCCCCACCGGCTCCCCACCTGCAGCTGCTGCAGAGCCTCCCAGACGAGCTCCGTGCAGACATTGCCATGCACCTGCACAAGGAGGTCCTGCAGCTGCCCCTGTTTGAGGCAGCGAGCCGCGGCTGCCTCCGGGCGCTCTCCCTGGCCCTGCGGCCCGCCTTCTGCACGCCCGGCGAGTACCTCATCCACCAAGGCGACGCTCTCCAGGCCCTCTACTTCGTCTGCTCCGGCTCCATGGAGGTGCTCAAGGGCGGCACGGTGCTTGCCATCCTAGGTGTGTCGGGGGCGGAGAGAGGATGCGGGGGCTTGTGGGAGGCAGGTGGAACTGTGGCCCCATCTACAGAAAACCAGAGAGGGGACACAGGCAAGGCCACCCGGGGAGAAACAGCCAGCGTGGAACCCTGGGCAAAGCTCAGAGCGGACCCAGTGACCACAAGTTGGCAACACAAGGAGGCAGATGTGATCTGGGGAGTGTTTGAGGACCAGCCTTGAGTCTGTGAGGGGACAGCGGGGAGCACTTCCTGTCAAGGAGGAAAATCAAAGGCTGAGAATGGAAGTGCTGGAGAGAGTGCTCAGGCAGAGCTGAAAAGGGTGGAATGAGAGCTCTCCCGTGGGGCTCCCGCGGCTGGGCCCGTGGAGAGTGGAGATGCTACTATCCCAGGGCGGATCCCAGAGCAGGCCCAGGGCTGCCAGGGTGACCGTGGAGCTCAGACTCAGCGGATATACTTCCCTTCTTGGCAAAAAAAAAAGAGGTGAAGATGAGGGATCAGTTCCCTAGACAAGGAAGAAGAGATGCAGTGATGGAATCCGTGTCATTATAGTGCTGACCCAGGGGTCTCGCAGCGGGCGGCGCTGTGCCCAGCCCCGTACCTGCTTTTTCTCAGCAAACCTCACAAAACCTGGCGAGGAGGAACTGTTGTCACTCCCATTTTGCATAGAAGGAGACTGTGGGTCCAGAGGGTAATGAATTGGCAGGCTGGGGTTAGAAGCTAGTCTGGGTACGCTGTGCTCTCAGGGCTCTGCTCTGGGGAGACTCATGTGCCACAGAAAGGGCATGATTTCAGGGGGTCGGACATGCACTGTAGGCTTTGGGAAGGCACATTCGAGTGCTCCGGGAACCACGGGCTGCACGGCTCTGGGGCTGTGGGAGGCTCTCGGCAGTGACCCCAGAGGGCGGGAGCACTATGATCTGCTTGGGTAATTGAGGGCCTCACACAGGATGGGACAGGGGATGGAAGGGAGGTGGTGCCCCGACCACAGCTGAATCCTCAGGCAGCCAAGAGCTTGTAGACTCACTGTGGGGACAGCTGACGCCCGGAGGGACTGAGGTTTGTCACTAACCTGGAGAACCAGGAAGACCAGGTGCCCAGCAGCTACTGTGTGTCCATCCTCTCTCCCTTGAGGAAGATGACCTTCCAACTCGCTCAGAGCTGAGAGAAGCGAGAGGCTGTTTTGCCCTTCACTTTGTGTTGTTCCTGAGTTCGGCGTCTGGGCCTGGATGCAGTTCATGCCAGGCCTCTGAGCAAATGAAGTTATGGCCACTCATGTATGGCTGGCAATCTTTGAGAAATTATGGAGACCTGGAGAGAGGCAGAAGGGCGAAAAGACAGGTTTTGGCAACTGCAGACTGGTCACTCCAAGATTGTCAAGCGGATTATTAAACAGATGGTTTCCAGCCTGGAGTCAAGGAAGCAGTGTGGCTGGGAGCTGACTTGGATCCCGACAGAGCATCTCTTCACTGAGGCCAGGCCCCAGATCTCAGAATGGTCACGTTCAGTATTAGGCCTCAAGAATGGCCACCACCTGCAGCCCAGGCCTTTGCCTCTAGAATGTCCCCCAGCACCAGGACTTATGCCACCTTTGATCTATCCTGGCCCTGCCCAGGTGCTCTGGATGGGCTGTTTGCTCTGTGGACCTGGCGGCTCTCAGTGCCCCAAAGAATGCCTGGCTCCCCACGACCTGGTTTTCTGCTTTGCCGTCATCCCATCCCCCACCTGCCTCCTTAGTTGAACATCCAGGTGGTTCCTGCCTGCTCCTGGCAGCTAAGGCTCCCCACACATCCAGCAGTGTCGATTCTGCGCCACCTCTGTGTGAACTAACAGCCAAGTGTGTGCAGAGTCGGTTGTGGGGGAGGAAGGGCAAGCAAGGTGAAGAGAAGTATGCTGGGGGCCAGCGCCGCGAGCTCCTCGATGAGCCGAGCTGGAGGCCCTGGCTGAGATGCCAGCCCAGAGGGCAGTCTCTGGTCCCCAAGACAGTGGCACGGAAGTCTGTCCTTGGTCCTGTCCTGTTTCTTGTTTTTATCTCACCTCTTGGATGAAGACAAGAAGTACACAAGCATCCTATTTCCAGATGACACACAGGAGGAGAGAGAGCTTCATCAGATGATCACACTGAGATGCAAACAGTTCTTGGAAGGAACCAGAAGGATGGTCTGAAACCAAGAAAATAGGATTTGACAGCGATGCATTCTACACTGAAGTTCGAGCGAAAGTCCGTGAACACTTAAGAGGAGGCCTCTAAGCTCAGTGAGGTCTGCCGGCTGCGGGAGGCAGCCCACAGGGTGTGGCAGCGCTCCATTTTTCTCCTGAAGGAGGAGGAAACGCTTTCTAATCTCGTGGACTGTCTGGCAGTGGGTTGAGCTGCCGTGTGAGGGCAGTGAGTGCTCGGCCCCAGCCCCGATGGCGTCCCATCCCTGCTGGGAATGATCTGCAGGGGAGTCTTGTCGGGAGGAAAGGGAAGGAAATGGATTGGTCGTCCGTGTGTCAGGCACAGTATCTACACTAACTCATTTAATCCTCGCCATGTCCCTGATCGGAGACACCCCATTTCATTGATTCTGAGACACATTTTTTTCCCACAATTTAACATCTCTGAGACTGGGATGCAGACTCTGATGCCATTTTACAATCGCTGTCAGCAAGGTGGCAGCAGTCTCAGCTGGGCGGTGAGAAACCCTCCACTGACACCTTCTGGTAAGATCAAGAAAGCACCACAGTCTTAGTTAACTACAGGATCTATCGTACAGACGAGGCACCGGGGCTCAGGGAGATGAAGGAAGATGGTCACTTGACATTTTCACTGAGCCACACGGGGCACGAGCCTGCTGGTTCCACACACTGGTGCCTGGGCAAGCTCCACCCGAATCACTGTGGGGCTTGAAAACCATTGGATTTTGGGGTGCCCTGTAGACATATATTATGATTCTATAGGTAGGGATGGGTTCTGCGTGTCTGACTGGTTTAACTTTCCCCGGGGATTCTGATCCACAGGCAGGCTGGGAACCACTAGAATTGGTGACTGCTCAGTCGTCTCAGAGCTAAAATTCGGATGTGTTTCAGCCCAGGGGCTTGCATCCGAAATGAGTTTGAGTGCCTGAGTCACAGAGCTCTCACCGCAAGCCTGTCTGAAGAGCCAGTGAGGCAGGCAGCAAGGGTCGGCCAGGGCCTGGGCCCCTCTGCTCCCCTCTGTTCTGTTCTTAAGGACCACAGTCGGAGCCTGGCTGGAAAGGCCCCACTCAGAAGCCTCCGCTCTGCTCCGCTCCCCTCTCTCGTTGCTGAGGGGCAGGGCTTGCTGACATCTGCTTCCTCTCCCCAGGGAAGGGTGATCTGATCGGCTGTGAGCTGCCCCGGCGCGAGCAGGTGGTCAAGGCCAATGCCGACGTCAAGGGGCTGACGTACTGCGTCCTGCAGTGTCTGCAGCTGGCGGGGCTGCATGAGAGCCTCGCACTGTACCCCGAGTTTGCCCCACGCTTCAGCCGGGGACTCCGGGGGGAGCTCAGCTACAACCTGGGTGCTGGCGGAGGCACCGCAGAGGTGAGGGTGCTGGGTACGTGCATGGAGGGGCTGGGGTGCCGGGGAGCCAGGTGGGCAGAGGCTGGGGTTCGTGGAGGTGTTGTGTGAGCACATGGCCTGGTGTGAACACTCTTGCACGTGGTGGGGGGGTCTAACACTCTCCCTGCCCCTTCATACCCACACACATGGTTCTTGAGAGTCCAGCCCAGCCGTGCTCAGCCACCCCTCCTGGCTCTCTCTGGCCCAGCTGAGACAGCCTGGCCCTGTCTAGAGCAAAGTCTCATGGGAGGGCAGCCAAGTCCACTGGTACCGGATAAGGAGCCTATAGGCCACAGGTGAAGGATGATGCCCAGGGGTCAGGTCTGGGCAGGGCCAGGCTCTAGCCCCCCAGGCTGCCTCTGGGAGAGCCCTGCGGTTCCCTCTGCTGCTTCATGGTGAAACAGGGCTGCTCTGAGGAGCTTTTGAATTTTCCTGGCTTATGTCACTAATTCCAAACCAGTTTTTTTTTTTTTTTATAATTTTATTTATTTATCCCCAAAGCCCCAGTAGATAGTTGTACGTCATAGCTGCACATCCTTCTAGCTGCTGTATGTGGGACGCGGCCTCAGCATGGCCGGAGAAGCGGTGCGTTGGTGCGCGCCCGGGATCAGAACCGGGGCTGCCAGCATCGGAGCGCACGCACTTAACCGCTAAGCCACGGGGCCGGTCCCCCCAACCAGTTCTTAATACGATGTTCTCTTGGATAGTCCGGTTAGCTGAGGGACCAAGTAGATGAGTGGTGTGTCCACACTTGGCTAGAATTTTGAGGGGAAGTGAGTGAACACCTCCAGGGCTTGGTGGCTTTGTGGTGGCAGCAGAAAAGCAGCCTCCCCTGCCCAGCCTCTTCTGCGGGGTGAGAGATACTGGGCATCTTTGTTTAACAAAGACGGCTCCTCCCTTCCAATGAGATAAGGCCTGGGTGGCAGAGGTGAGTGGGGCTATCCATGCTAGTTCCCTGTCCCCCACTGTCCCCAGGCGGACACCAGCTCCCTGAGTGGCGACAACACCCTCATGTCCACGCTGGAGGAGAAGGAGACAGACGGGGAGCAGGGCCCCACGGCCTCACCAGCCCCAGCTGATGAGCTCTCCAGCCCCCTGTTGTCCCCCGGCTGTACCTCCTCGTCCTCAGCTGCCAAGCTGCTGTCACCACGTCAAACTGCGCCCCGGCCCCGTCTGGGTGGCAGAGGGAGGCTGGGCAGGGCCGGGGCTTCGCAGGCTGAGGTTGGCCCCTCTGCTCGCCCTCGGAGCATAGAGGGGCTGCGGCTGCCCCCTGTGCCGTGGAATGTGCCCCCGGATCTGAGCCCTAGGTGAGCGGACCACTACTCTATGGCAGAGATGGTGGTAATAGGGCGGGGGCCCTGGCCAGGCTCACCTCCACCCTAGCTGCCTGTCCTTCCATCCTAACTCCTCCCAGCCTGCCTGGTCCAAGCCCACCTTCTCTAGGAAGCCTTCCTCAACTCCTCCATCTCCCTGCTGCCCCACCCCACTACTAGGTGCATGGCCATACACTGCTCAGAACTCTCTTGCTGTTCCACGTACTCAGGCTTGGCTCCCCAGCAAAACTGCAAGCTCCAAGGGGAAGGGACCACGTACCTTTCTCTTGGGGTCTGAGCCCCCTGGCCCAGCTCTGGCCTCTGGCAGCCTCTGTATGTGGACACTGGGGCGTCCTGTCCCGTGAAACACTGCGGTGGCTGCCTGTTGATTGATTTGCTGTCCTGGCGCCTGGGTCCACAGGGTAGTAGATGGCATTGAGGACGGCTGTGGGTCTGACCAGCCCAAGTTCTCTTTCCGTGTCCAGTCTGGCCCAGAATGTAGCAGCAGCCCCTCCCCTGGACCAGGTACTGGGGCCCGGGGCCTGGGGGGAGGTCGGCGGGGCAGCCCCTTTGCCCTGGGAGCCTCTGAGAAACCGGCAGGGTACAGACTTTGCCTGGAAGTCCCCTTGCCCTCACCCACCTGCATGGTTTGGGCAGGGGAATTTGGTGGTTAAGACCAGCACGTTGGTGTCGGAAGGTAGCTGGGAACGGGGTTTAGGTCTCTGCTGTCAGCTCTTTAGAGCAGTGTGACCTTGATTCTTGCTCCGGCTTCCTGTCTGTAAAACGGTTGTTGTGCATGTTAAATAAGATGATATCACTAAGACCCTTAGCACGATGTCTGGCTCGCTGGGGTATAGATGGCTGGGGAAACAGTTGAAAGCAGCCTCTGGCCAGGCCAGGCAGCCCTGAGAGTAGGCCAGGTAATGAGCTCCCAGGCATGTCCCTGTTCCTGGAGGACAGAACAAGAGATAGCCACAAAGAGCAACTTCTTGAGGGGGAAAGTGCAGGGCAGTGTGCCTGAGGCCCCCTGGCAGTTGGGGCAGAATTCAGCAACTTGGCAAGGCTGGAAGTGGCCATTCCTGGCGTCAGGCCCTGCCAGGCCAACGTGGTCTGTGCCAACGGGGCAGAGGCCTGGACCACAGTGTCTCCTCTTACTAGCCCCGCTGATAACCCCATCCTACTGCCCACAGAGAACGGCCTGCTCACTGTCCCGCTCGGGCCCAGCGAGGCAAGAAACACAGACATGCTGGACAAGCTTCGGCAGGCGGTGGGTGAGGGCAAGGTGGAGGCAGGGAAGGGGAGGGGTGGGCACTGCTATTGTGAGGGCTGGATTCCAGTCTGACCTTGTCCTCCTCCCGCCCCGCAGGTGATGGAGCTGTCTGAGCAGGTGCTGCAGATGCGGGAAGGACTGCAGTCGCTTCGCCAGGCCCTACAGCTTGTCCTGGCGCCCCATGGGGAGGGCCCGTGCCCTCGGGCGTCGGGAGAGGGGCCATGCCCGGCCGGCACCTCTGGGCTCCTACAGCCTCTGTGTGTGGACACTGGGGCGTCCTCCTACTGCCTGCAGCCCCCAGCTGGCTCTGTCTTGAGTGGGACCTGGCCCCACCCTCGGCCAGGTCCTCCTCCCCTCACAGCACCTTGGCCCTGGGGCCCCCCAGCATCTCAGAGCTCCCCCTGGCCTCGAGCCACAGCTTTCTGGACCTCCACCTCAGACTCAGAGCCCCCTGGCTCAGGAGAACTCTGCCCTGAGCCCAGCACCCCTGGCTCACCACCTCCTGAGGAAGGGGCTAGGACTGGGCCCCTGGAGCCCGTGAACCAGGCTGAGGCCACCAGTACTGGAGAGCCCCCGCCAGGGTCAGGGGGCCTGGCCTTGTCCTGGGACCCTCATAGCCTGGAGATGGTGCTTATTGGCTGCCACGGCTCTGGCACAGTTCAGTGGACCCAGGAAGAAGGCACAGGGGTTTGACGGCCAGCCCCGGAACTCAGTGTTGCCAGACATGCTGCCATCTGCTGCTCTGCCCAACCTTGGGGTGGAAGAAGCGCAGCAGCCAACCCCTGGGACTCCGTGCTGCCTGCTGGCTCAGGGCAGGGAGCCTGAGAGCCAAGGGGGGCCTGGCCCCCAACTCTCACAGAGGGTGAGCTGGAGCCTCAGGGGCAGGCCCCGGGCTAGGAGTCTTCGGGGCCTACTCCTGGGGCCCCTCCTCAGCCTGCTCCTCTGACCTCGTCTCCCTCTGCAGGCTGGGGGAAAGAGGTCTGAGGCTAAGGAGGGGTTCTGCCATCCCCTGCATGTGCCCCCGTCTCACCTGTCCCCTCCATTTTTTATATTAAAAAATAATAATAAAAAAAACTACTTTGGAACTCAGTGCTTTTTATTTACAAAAGAAAAATAATAAAGGAAAAGTCTGAAGCTAATCATCTGGAGACATAGGGGTGAAGATGGGAATCTGGGGGAAGAGGGGAGGGTGGTCTGCAGAGGGGAGGGGCTCTGGCTCTAGGGAAACCAGAGGGTCCCCACTTCTAGGGGCTTCCTGAGGGCCACCCCCCCTACCGCAGAGGCTCAGATCAATGGGCCAGCAGTTGGGTCTCCTGCTGCCCACTCTGGTTTTTCCAGGAGCCTGAGTTCCCAGCTCCAGGGGGAACTGGCAGGGGAAACTGAGGCCGGAGAGAGCCCATGGTCCTGCCACCACTCCTCACTGTGGCGTGATCTTGGCAGCCTCGGCCCGGATAAGGGCAATGAGGTCCTGGTTGATGAGGAAGACGAATCTCAGGCTGGCAATCTGGGGGCAGCAGAGAAGGGTGGCTGTAGACAGAGATGGAACTAGGGGCCAGGCCTACGTACCGGCTCACTACACCCCAGGTCTCATCCTGGCCTTTCCACCTCCCTCCCAGCTCACCTCCACCACAGAGTTGTTGCTGAGGCGCCACTTGGAGCCACACAGCACAGGCCGTCCATCAATGTAGATGGGCCGTCGGCCCTCATTGGCAATGAAGAAATCCCCGTTGTTTTTCAGCTTGATAATACCTATGGGAATAGAGAAAAAGGGGGATAATGGGATGGGGGAAACCTCCATGTACCCTCTCTGCTTCCTGGGCATGGGCTAGAAGGCACCCAGGACCCCCAAGTTAGAGATCTTGAAATGCCGGCTCCGCAGCCTCAGCTAGCCCATGAGGGTTCCCACGGAGACCAGGCCACAGGGCTGGAGAGCAGCGAGAGGCCGGTGGGGACATCCATACACTGTTTCCTGCTGGTACCTTGCTTCCGGGAGATCTTCCAGGCTGGACCCTCCAGAGACAGATCCACATCAATCTGGTTGTCCTTGGTTGCTCTGCCCAGGGTGATCTGGGGAAATGGGGCAGGTAAGGGCTGGGACCTGAGGACTTGAGGAGGGGTCAACATAGGCCAGGGAAAGATGAGAAATCAGGGACCAGATATAGAAAGGGCAGCGAGGGGAAGACTGACAGAAGATGGAAACCTAGGAAGAGGGGACGTGGATGGCACCGCTGGGTCTTCCTTACCTCTCGCGAGCGCATCAGGTACCGCACCATGCGGCCCCGCAGCACTGCCAGCGTCTGGTTGTCGAAGTCCGGAGAGCTCATGCCTGGGGGAGGAGCAGCTTGTGTTGGGGAAGAACCCACCTCTTAGGGCCACGGGGCGGAAGGCAGGGAGCCAGGGCAAGGCCTACTGAGGGAAAGGAGTCAGGGGCTGGGAAAAGAGGGTGCACCCACCCAGGCAACCAGAGGTCCCCTAGCCTGCTCACCTGTGATGCTATCTACCAGCACCTGCCACTTATGCAGCTCCTGTTCCAGCTGCCGAATCTCTCGCTTCTGGCGCCGGTCAGCCACTGTCAGCTCTGGAGTGAAGCGGGGTAGTAAGGAGGGACAGTCCAAGGTCACCAGCACTTTGTACTGGTTCTGTCTGTTCTGGCAGGAGCTTCCATCCCCTCACTGTCCCCACCGGGGCACACTCACCATGTTCCAGCACCTCATCCCGCATGTCCCTGAGGGGTGAGAAGAGAAGATGAATCAGGCTCCTCACTCCAGCTCCCCGGCCGTCACCATTAGGTGCTACTCGGCTCATTAGGGTATCCCTCAGCCCAGGAGCCAAGGGGCCCAGCGGGCTGCTCCTCAGCCTAGCCTCCTTCCCTGAGGTTGGGGTGGGGGTGGGGGTAAGGAACAATGACGGGGGTGCTCAGCAGTGAGACCGGGTGCCAACAGCTCCAACTGGGGCACAAGGCTGAGTCTGGGCTGGGCTGCACGCTCTGCAGCAGGAGGCAGGGCCGGGCAGCCTGGGAGCCTTGCCCCCAGCAGACACTCAGCTCTCGCACCCTGCCTGTGGCCCTGGCCACTCACTTGAGCTTACTGTCATCAATCAGGTCTTCTGCGTCGGAGAAGTTCAGCACTTGGTCCCCCTTGGGCAGCGGCTGCACTGAACAAAGGACGGAGGGAGGGTCAGCGCCGATGCTCCCACTCAACCCCAAGCTGCTGGCAGACAAGTGAACTAAGGGGACAAACTAAAGGCTGAGCCTGTGAGAATAGTTTTGTGCTGAAATCAACAGAAGTTACCCTGACACAGGTAATGGAGTGCATGCCGGATTAGGCTGCACGCTAACTTGGCACAAAGCATTCTTGGGGTTAGCCAAAGGGAGAGATGGTTCTAGAAAGAGAAGGGAATTAACGCTGACCTTTTGTGGGGGCTTTTCAAAGTGCAAAGGGCTCTCACTTTCATAGTCTTGAACCAAGCAGGGGAAGCACTACTGTTAGCACTACAGATGAGGAAACAGACATGGGGGGAGGGTTCAACCACGAGACTCTAGTTTAGGCCAGAGCCAGGATTCAAGCCCTGCTTTCCTGATTCCAAATTCAAAATGCTCCCCCTACCACATCACATGCTCTGAACATTTTCTGCCACACTCCACGAGGGGTTGAGAGGCACCTGCCAGTCATTCCCACTTAGAAAGGGTGTGCCGGATGACAGCTGCCTCACATTAAGCCAATGTTTTTCAAACTATAGGTCATGATGTGTCAATGGGTCATGAAACTGGTTTCATTTTTTCCAAAAAATGAAATGAAAGTCAGATAATTAATATCAGAGTCCATCAGATATATTCGGGATAAATATGGTTTCATGAAAGGTTTTCAGTTTTTTGTCTGGTCAAAATTTAAAAAGGGGGCCAGACCGGTGGCCTACTGGTTAAGTTCCTGCATTCTGCTTCAGTGGCCTGGGGATCACAGGTTTGGATCCTGGGCGTGGACCTACTAACCGCTCATCAAGCCATGCTGAGGTGGCGTCCCACGTAGAGGAACTAGAAGGACCTACAACTAGGATATACAACTATGTAATGGGGCTTTGGGGAGAAAAAAAGAAAAAGGAGAAGATTGGCAACAGATGTTAGCTCAGGACCAATCTTCCTCAAAAAACAAAAAAAATTAAAAGGGACTGGGGCCCCCAAATCTGAGAACTTCTCCTTTAAGGCCAGCTATTCCCAAGACTACAGCATCTGCTCGGGAGCAGCTAGTGGCTGTGAAATTGTTGGTTGAGTCCGACAATACCTGAGGTCCTCACTGCCTGCCAGGGAAGCTAGGGGGGCTGCCTAGGAGCCACAATGCTCACTCCACCCCCTCACCCATCTCCTTAGGTCAGACTGTGCGGGGAGATGGGGGTTTGGGGTGGTCACCCCCATGAAGCACCCCCCCAGTCTGCCTGGAATCCCACGGATCTAATAATCAACCGACCTGACGGCTAAGCAGTGCACACTCCCTGTTCCTAGGGACTCCTGGCTCTAAATAGCAAAGGAGAAATCAAATTCCCACATAAGAAGACTCTTGAACAGAAAAATTAAACCTTTAAGTTAACAAGTAAGTTTACACAAAATGATTTTCAAAATAGTGACAAAGGAGCTAGCTATGGCAGCAAAAATAAACTTTAGCCAGGGTCTGTTCTCTTGATGGGAATTCAGTGACATCTGAGCCCGAGGAAGAAGCAGGAATAAAGTGAGTGACCCACTGGGCACTAAATTCGGAGACCCTTAGGAAGGAAAGATGGGGCCTCTCCCTGACAAGATTTCCTAAAGTCCTCATGTAGGAATATCTTTTAATAATCAGAAGCTGTAAGACCCAGGTAGTAAGGGGAAGGGCATGGCCGAAGCTTCATTTTCAGAATAGTGAGAACAACTATATAGAAGGCAACAGGCAGTAATACTGGGAAGTAAGAGGAGAGTGTGCCTGTACACGAAAGGCTGACTGGAATCCCAAATCTCCCTGAAATCTCATCTTCCTGTAGTTTAATCAGACTGCTTTCCTGATGTTTGTCACCAGGAGAGTTTTCTGTTGGTGAGGGAAGAGAGGAAGCAGAGAGCATTCTGGCCCTTGGGAAGAAAGAGAGACAGACGGATGGGGTGTGAAGTCCCAGGGGGCACGTCTGAATGGCCCGAAGGCAGCCTGACAGCACTGACTGCCTGGTGGGAGGAGAGGCAGCGAGAAGGAACGTGGAGAAAAGGAAGGGCAGAAAGGCTTAGAAAAAGTCATTATCTCCAGGGTGGGACACAGGGAAAGTGAGCAGTGAAGGGGGCTTTCACATTTTGCTCATGTTTGAATGTTATTCATGAAGACTATATCAATGTGTTATTCATGTAATGACAAAACATGTCAAAAAACAAGAAGTGATTGTTAAGTCTAAACCCTGTCATTTAGACTTTTTGTCCAGGATTCCAGGCAATTTTGGCTACCCTTACCATGATGCTGAAGACCATTCCAGCTACTTTCCCTCCCTCTGGAAGAAAGTGGTTTTGGCTGCGAAGAGAGGTGAACAAGGCACTGGGGGCCACTGAAGGATCTGTTACAGGGCACTTGTGGGCAGCTGTGCCCAGATCACTTCACGCTCACATGTACACACCCATTCTGCCAGCTCCGGGGGCCAGTTACCTGTCTGGTCCTCCAGCAGGTAATACTGCTTCATGAGCTGCCAGTGGGCCTGCAGAGCCTTGGCAGTTCGGGCCAGGTAGAAGGCATCGGGGTGTCTGTGCAGCAGGTCCTGGAAGGTCTCCAGCGTGGGCTGGCTGGTCTGGAGGACAAGAAGCATGGTCTAGGCATCTGGGTTTTCTCTCTCCCGCCTCTGCCTTACCACCCCGCCCTCTGCCCCAGTCCCCACCAGGAGCTGGAAGAAGCGATAGCTACAGTTGCCCAGGGAGCCAGGCTTGGCTCTTCCTGAGGACCCTGTCCACAGAGGCCCCTGCAAAGGTACGTGCATCTGCACAGCCACCTTTCCAGGCAGTGGAGTCTCCCCACAGCAGTTTTCCAGGTGGTCCAGCTCCCACCCTGCCCGGCCACTCAAC